GTGTTTCTGTGTGCGTGCAGATGGTCTTACTGCACAGTCATAGGTCCTAGATCTGGAAGAGTGCAAGTTTTGGAGACACATGAAAGTGCTACTCTTTAGGTCATTTTTAATGATGGAATTAGGAAGTATCTTTGGTGACCATATGAATTTACTTCCTTTTTAAACAGGCCATGCTCATGATAAGGAAAGTGCATCCCAGAGGTCTGCGTGCCTCCCTGAAGCACCTGGTATTCTGGGAGCTCCTGGGATGTTTCCACCTCCACAGGACAGGTGGCCAGCCGTGTCATGCCTTTCTGTACAGTGAAACTTTCCTGCCAGTGCCAGTTTCTTGTCTCTTCCCCTTCCCTGGAGATGCTTCTGGGCTGGGGGAGATGGAGCAGGTGTGGAAGGCCGGGGCAGCATCAGAGCCACAGACCCATCAGGATGGGCTGAGTGATCCGTGGTAACAAAACCCACAGGTCCTTGTGTTCCCAACTACCAGCTTTAGTCTTATGTCCATAGTGGGTTGTCTGGGTGCTGTGGGTCATTTTCTTAGGATGAAGGTGGACTGAGATTCCCCCAGCTCATGCTTTGGGGTGCAGAGCAGTGGAATAGAGCATGTGGGAAGCTCATATCAATGAAGCAGGTCACAGTCTTCTCGGCCCTGGTTTTCCAGCCTTAGTCACAGTGTCTCTGCTTGACTACTGACCATTGGGGACCAAGAAATGCACCTTGACCACGTGCCCATAAGAGAAGTGAACCTTGGTGACAGCCCTGGGGATGACAGAGACCACCAGTGGCCAAGTGGAAATTTATCATTTTATTCCTATTTCATTTTTCCAAACATGTACCCTAGAATGAGTTTTATGGCTTGGGCCTAGATGTCCCCCCAGAGCCTCATGCAGTCATGGGTGGGGCTCTTCAGAGGTGGCTGGATCGAGATTGTGTGAGGCTGGGATTGATTCATGATGCAAGGCCAACTCAAGGGCACTAGGACTAAGGATATGAGGTGTACCCACCCTGAGGAGGCTGGATAGGATAAAGGGGGCAGAAAGAAGCTGTCACGGTCCCTTGGTGCTTCTGCTGTCCTCCGCCTGCCATCGTTTCTCTTCTGCAGTGCTTTTCTGCCATGTGTCTCTCTGTGTTGGAGCCAAATTTCTATAGACTGAAACCTGTACAAAATGTAAGCCAAATAAACCTCTCCTCCCTTAACTGGTGGGTGTTGGGTATTTTGTTTCAGCAATGAGAAAAAAAAAAAAAAACTAAGACAATGAGACGCCTAAATATTGCTAACATCTTATACACTAATCAATCTATTTTTGTGTGTGTGCCTTAACTCAATTATCAAACAAAGGTGTTAGTAAACGTCTGGCTGACATTGTTAAGTAGTGTGGATCCGGGCAATGCATATTTCCCAGGAAAGATTTCAGGGAGGGTGGGGGTCTAGAGCCCAGGGAGGAGCTGGGCCGGGAAGTTGCTCATGGTCTCTCCTGTCCCTTGCGCCCATCCTGGTGGAGTCAGAACAGTCATTGCTGTTTTGCTGAGGAGGCATGAGGGCCACCGAGGTAAGCAGCTTGCTCAGGGGCGGGGCTTCAGTTCACTGTCAGAGCCACTAACCCATAAATTTGGGCCTTTGGGTGATGAGGCTGGGTCCCAGGCCCCTTTGCAAGGTGTCCTGGTAAAAATGACTGCTTATTGCTCTGGGGGAATATCACAGATCATATCCCATCCTCTCTGCTGCAGAAGTCAGTGCTGGGCCTGTCCAGCCACCCTGCATGTCCCTCCATCGCTGCTCAGGTCCTTTGCCTGAACATGCACGGTGTCTGTGAGCACCAGCCTACGTGAGGACTCACTGTGCTCAGGCAGGGCTAATGGGAAATGTGTCTGGGCACTCAGCAGCTGCATTTGGCTGTAGCCATTGAGAGCTGAAAGGCGCAGGCATAACAAGGAAGCGTGGTTTTTTTACCTCATGATGTCATGAAAAGCTGCTGGCCTGCAGCCAAGGCTGGCACAAAGAGCTCCCTCCCAAGACTGACCCAGGGGCCTCCCAGCACCCCAAGGAGAGGAGCCCTGTCTTGTCGTTCCTACAAAGAACAGGGAGGCATGGGGTGGGGCCCAAAGGGCTCTTGCTGACTCAGCTCTCCTCCATCTATCCACATTGCTCCTGGATGAAGCTCAGCCCCAGGGCCAGTCCTGCCTGCAAAGGTCTCTGGGAAACCAAGTGCAAGCCAAACCAATGTTTGCTATTGAGCAGAAGGGGTGTAGCTAGCCATTTTTGCCACAGTGCTTGTCAAAGTGCTATTATAGCTCATGCACTTCCTTCCTCTCCCCCTAGATTTGGCTGAGCTTGGCTTTGGATGCGAACTGTCATTAGGCATTTAGAGGCAAAGAGAGTTTCAGGCCCCAGGTCCTGACTTGGTGGAAGATATGCTCTTTCCAGGGGTCATAACATGCTCCAAACTGGGTGTTCGTGCTTGCTGGTTTTCCTGAGCGTTGGGGCAGTTTGTCTGTTATGCCATGTCCTCTGAGGCTGCCCAAAGGTTTCCTGTTCAAGGAACAACCTGCACAGCAGCCTGCATGCCAGCCCTGGAGTACAGAGAAATAGGCTCTGCTATGCCTCCCAGGCAGATCATTGCGCAAGTCTTGCAGGTTTCAGCAGTCAGTAGCCAGGGAAGGTGGTGGCAGCCCAGCCAGGGAGCAGTGCTTCCCCCAGGCTGTTGCTTTGGGGAGTGCAGCACAGTGGATGGCAGGGAGCTGGGTGTTGTTTTCTAGGCAGGGACCACATTGCCTTTGCTCTCCTGACGCCAGCACAAGGGTGCACCGGCACCAGAACCCGCTGACCTTGAGTGGCTGATCCTAGCCCTTCACATCTGTCTGTCCTGTGCATGTTCACCTTGCATCCCAAAGACAGCCAGGGTGGTCACAGCTAAGCCCAGACCAGGGAGGTCAGATGGATAGGACGGTGTTGTCGGGGAGCTGGCCTTGCCTAGGACTTGACACCCTCCACAGATTCATATGGACTCAAAGAGAGGCACTTGCTTCCTGGGTCACAGGGGAGAAGTCTCCTTCAGCTTGGATTACCACCGCAAAAAAGTGTGTATGCAATACAGAGTGTAGGGGACGAGGAGGAGGGGGAGGAGGAGGAGGAGGAGAAAAAGAAGAAGAAGAGGAGGAGGAGCAAGAAGAAGAGGAAGAGGAAAAAGAAGTATAAAGTAAAAACCAAAGGCCTTTCCCTCCATGCCAGCCCTTGGTCTCTTCCCCAGGAGTACCAAAAGTCTGCCAGGTTTGCGGCATCCTTTGGGATAGTTACCATGTGGGCACATGTGTAGCTCTGCAAAATGGTAACTGAATACACGCTCAAGGCAAGTTGCTTTTTATAAATGGAATACATATCCCACACCTCAGAGACAGCCGTTCAGACCGGTGTGTTCAGCACTGCCTCTTTCTTTGGTCTGGTTGCAAAGCATCAGACTGTTGCGTGTAGAGAAATTTATGATTTCCCTCTGGAGAGGTTTGGGATGTTTCCTGTGCGAGAAATGTTGTAATAAACGTCCTTGTTCTGTAGTTTTGAGGACTTCTGCAAATATTTCAGGATTAAATAGGCTAAGTGGAACTTTCAGGTAACAGTGTATGTCTATATTTGAGACAGTGGTGGATTCTGCCAAAATGCCCTCTATTAAGTGACCTCCTGTAGACCACTTTCTCTTTGGTCTCTTCTCCACTCAATCAGTCAGTGTTTTTGTTTTTTGTCAAAGAGATTGTCAAAGTCCTGCTTAAAACTGCCAGAAGCTGCAATAAAGACTCAGGACTATCATCCTGTGTTTGGTGAGTCCCTGAGCTCTGCTGTTCTCACAAACATTCAGCTACACCAACTTTCATGGGTCTCTCCAATGTATCGGTTCACCCTCACCACAGGGCCTTTGCATGCACCAGCCTTGCCCCGTGCTCCGGAGATTCCCACACAAATGCCCCTTCTCAAATGGTACCTCCCCATGCAGGCCTTCCCCAGTCTCAGTGATATGTAGCCGTTTAGCCATTAGCTGCCAATTTCTGACTTTTTGTGTTCACTGTCACCCTGCACAGCAGAAGCTGAGGTTCTTGTCTATATGATAACCCCTATGTCCTCGTGATGGTGTCTGACAGTAGCTGTGCAGGAAATAATGCTGGCCCGTGAGCCTCTGCCATGTGAGGGCAGGGCAGCAGACGGCATTGCCTGCAGCCTCTGTGACTGCCAGGTAGAGCCCGGAACTGGGGCAGCTTTACGAATCTGCATTTCTTTATGATTCTTCAGACCTTTCTCATTTCCCTACAGAGTTTTCTCTTTTTTAATTGAGAGGTACAAAGTCTTTCCATGCAATATAAATGAGCTATTTGTCTCTCAGTTTTGTCACAAATATTCTTCTCAGTTGACGCTCTACCTGTGGACGGTGTAGTACTTTTTCTGTTTAAGTTCTTAGTTTTTATGCAGTCCAGTGCTCTTGCCCAATTCCTAGATGGTTTCTAACCGTGGTGTGAAAATGTCCTCTCCTCTGCTGCTGTGGGGCTCTCCTCACAGTGTCCTGGGCCAGGGCAGGGGTGTGCCCATAGGCAGGAGGAAGAGAGGTCTGTGTTGTGGGGGAGCCTGGGTGTCTGCAAGGCTGTCTGGCTACAGGTGGGTGACACAGGGCACAGGCTTTGCGTGGCAGTCAGGCTGGACCTGGGTGGCATTTGGGGGTCAAGTGGGCAGCTGAGGGCATGGGCAGAGGTGGAGATGACAGGAAGGGGAGAGTGGGGATCCCTAAGGCCCTGCTAGGGAGCAGGGTGGTGAAGGGCAGGGAAGGGGGTGAGAGGCCCGTACTCTCCTCGTGCTAGCACTCGGGGCTCAGGCTTAGAAAGGGGAGCGGGGACCCCAGGGCTGTGGCCAGTGAACTGCTGGGGGCAGACAGAAGCTGTGGCAATGGGCTGAGACGGGCGCTGGTGGCCCGGGAAAGATGAAGCCTGTGCTCCTGTCACAGCACTTGAAAGACGGAGGGCACGGCTGCTTTCTTGTGAATCTGTTTATTTTCAGATGAAAGGAGTCACATCTGCCTGCACGCCCGGCAAATCTCAAGTTGGATTTTTATAATTTAACTTTAGCAAAGGCTCAAGAGCTTGAGGCCGAGTTTGCTCTTACCTTCAAGCTCCCCGTCCTACATCAAGCAGCCTTAAATGATCACTGTTGGCAAAGACCGGCTCTGTGGGCACGCGTGCGTGGGAACAACTTCACTTTGCACAGTCTGCCGTCCGTGTGTACAGTATGTGTTTAGCAAATACATAATTAGGTATATAAGTCCCGTACAACGCGATTTCACAACCAGCAGCCTCATCACTGAGATATTACTTAATTTGTTAAAGTGATAAACAAGATTACGATGTGCAAACAAACAGGGTTTGTGCTCCAGCTGTGCCCAAGTTTATTTTACAAAGCTATAAACACAAGGCCCTTTCTCCGGTCCCCTGGATGGGATTTCCCCTTCCTTTTGTTGGTGAGAGAAGAGCATAAAGGCCAGTGGGCTTTCTGGCTGTGGCACTTAAAGAAACTCATTCATTGCCCAGTGTCCTTAAGGGGGTTTCCCACACAGAAGCTTCGCTGAGCGGGAGATACCTGATCCCGGCTTACCCGAGCTGGGCCCCATGCTCTGGGGACTGTGGAGCTTGTGAAATGAGCTGAGACTGGGGTGTTGGGGGCAAGGGGCAGGGGTCACAGCCTTCCTCCTGCCCTGCCTGAACTGCTCCTCAACTGAGAGTCTCTAGTGTAATTCCATCTGAGACCTGGGGCTGAAAACCGGGCGGGTCCATTATGCAGGGGAGGACCTGCCTCCTTTTGTGGGACCCAGCCCAGAATGGGATTCCTCTCCCTGGCTCTTAGAGGCAATGGAAGGGTAGGAGGTGCCTCTGCAGACCCCACCATGTTCCCTTGGGCTGTAAAACCAGCATAGGGTGGCGGAAGGGGGCGGGTATCCAGGTAACTGCCCTGCAGAACCTGAGAACTCTCAACCCCGCCAGGCAGGCAGCTTCTTAGCACTTCTTAGCAGCATAGGGTTAGGGTCAGTCTTCTGGGGCCTGGGCACTGCCGCAGGCTGGTCACACTGTACTTCTTCCACAGAGATTACCTCCTTTTGCGCGTGCAAGCCTCCAGTCGGCACAGCTCTTCATAGGACTGGTAGAAAATGTCAAACTCCCTGGCGCCCCAGCCCCTCCAGACAGCCAGGCACCATTCTGAGTTTTCGTTTTCAAAGCCACATACTACTGTGTCCTTTGCCACCACAGCTGCGTCCACCAGCACCCTGCAGAGAGAGGGGGGTCTGAGGAAACTCAGGGGTCCCCCAGGGTGGGGCCAGGACCCTTTCCCTGCACACCCTCAGCCGGCCAAGGGGAGGCTGTGTGTCCCAGCCTGGCTCTGGGATGTGTTCCGGTGCCCTCCAGTCTGGTCCCATCTGAAGGCTGAGGCTTTTTACATCTCATGAAAATCGAGGGCATCAATTTATGTTTGTGGGTTGTCAGGAAGAGACTGACTCTAGAAGGCACCTGATGCTTCCACACTTCCTTCAGACCTCGAAGTGCCCAGAAAATGTCATCAGGCTGAATTCCCACCACTGCATGGCACAGGACTAGTCAAAGCAGCTCAGTTCCTTCGCCACGAGCTCTGGGGGACTGAATATTATACTCCCACAACTTAGAAAACAAAGCTGCGGACGGTTTGGCAGGAACTGTGGGTACAGTATGAGTTTCTTTTAGGGCCACACTGGGTGGCTCCTGCAGCCTCCCTGCCTTTGGGGCCCTGCAGAGCTGGTGGCCTGTCTGGGCATCCACCATCTGCATCTCTGTGCTTACTTCATGCGCCCTGCTGGGTACCCAGACTCCCCTGCAACCAGGGGATCCAGAGGCCTCTGATTCCCACACGGCCTTGCCAGGGGGCTGCTGGGGTCTTGGGAAAACTCAGCTTTGGGGGATGAATAGGGAAAAAGATGCTAGCTAAAAATTAAGAGACACCCACGGCAAGCAAACCAAGGTCAACCAACCTGGGTTCTGCAGATCCACTTGATCCTAGAAGCCTGACCTGCTAGCTGGGGACTACTTCTGCTCAAGTGTGCCACAAAATACTTATCCAAGACTTAGGAGCAGGCCACAAGTGAGTTTCTAGAACCACTCACAGAACAAGTGTCATGGCCCCAGGAGTCACTGAGGAAGCTCAAGGCTGGCAGGCCAGGGAGGACAACTGCCAGGGTGTCTCCTGGGTCATTTTGCTACTCTGGAGGAAACAGGCTGAATAAGATTTCCCCACGTCTGCATGCTCCACATGAAATAAAAACCCTCAGCAACAGGGGCGTGGCACCTCACGCCACAGAGAAACAGGCTTAGTGTGAAGTGGGAAGGCTCCAAAGTAACATGCAAACACATGTACACACAGGCGCAATTTGAATTCAGAGAATTGAGGAGCTTTTCATGAAGGACATTTCCTGCTTGCAGCTCCAGAATAGAGTGTACTGGGGGGATGTTGTCAGAAACTGTGGCCTTGCACCGGGCTTCCACCTCTCCCACACAGACACCGTCCTGGACAAGCTGTCCTCACAGACGTGCTCAAGCTTGGCGCTGCCATGCCTCCTGGTGGCATCCGCTCCCACCTGGTCACGGTGAGGAATGACCGTGCCTTGTCACCTGGCTCTGCCTGAGGGGCAGGTGGGCCATGCTTGGCAGGGCTCTCCCGGCAGGAAGGACACTGAATCAGTGGGAGGGATCCCTTTTTCTCCTGCACTCAGCCCTGGGGATGCACTTGGCCCACAGGGACCCGGGCACCCAGAAGGAGGCAGCCCTGGCCAGAAGCTGCAGCTCAGTTTAGCCAGTGTTTGTTGAGCTCCCCAGGAAGAGGATCCTGAGGACTCTCTTCAGTCCCCGCTTTGGCCGATGGCCACACTAGGGGTGCTGATGCTTATTCATCAGCCCAGAGGCCTACAGGGTTGCTGAGCTATCAGGAGGGACCTGGCAACCAGGTCCTGGATTCCCTGTGCTACTCCCCTAGGGCCCAAAGGAGCCTCCCTCCACATCTTACCCATGTGGAGTCAGTTCTCGGGCTTTTAAGACAGCGATGACTCGGCCCCGCTGGGTACCCGAATCCTTCTCCAGGCCGATGACAATAACGTCTCCCCCGTGCCTAAGAAACCAAAATCAAGGAAGGGAAGCGTTCTGTCCATGGCTGGCCATGCTCTCCACGGGGAAAAGCACCGGGTGCAGAAAGGCATGGTCAGGAAGTAGCGAATGTACAGTTTCTGCTACAGGATTAAGTTACAGAGAGGGCGCAGCCTCCAAGGTAGATGACAACTTTCCCAGTTGGAAACCTAGCAGCAGGGGACTGTGTGGGTCTCCTTTCGTGGCACCCCAAGCTCTGTGCTAGGCAGGTAAGCTTTGCATTCTTAGATTTGCTAAAGAGGTCCCTGCTGACTGCAGAAGGAAGGAGCAAATCCAAGGCAAGGCCAGAAACCTACCTGGGGACCCAAATGAGGTCTCTGACGGCGAGGACCTTCACGGCCTGCAGGTGCTGGCTGAAGGTCTCCCCGTCCATGGGGCTCAGGTCATGCTCAGACCTGTCTGAGGCAGCGCTGGGCTCCTGAAGCCGCTCGGAGTCCTCGCAGTCTGTGGAGAAAGGCATGCTCGAACAGCTGGCTGGGGAGCTGAACAGGCTGGAAGGGCACCTGGTGGCCCGGTGGGGTGGGGATGAGGAGTAGGAGGACATGGAGCAGTAGTCGGTCAGCGAGTCCTGATGGTTCAGAATCTGTGTGCCCAGCTCCTCGCTGTACATGATGCTCACGTCTGCGATGCAGTCTCCCTCAGGCGCCTTTGGGCTGGCTGTATGACTGTCCAGGGGTTCTGGATCTGAGGGCTGCACCGGGAACAGGTCCCTGAGGGGGCTGGGGTCGCCACAGAAGTACCGGGCGCACAGCTGGTAGGTGGCTGAATGGTACATCACCAAGGAGTTGGTCTTGTCATCCAGGCACCAGACGACTTCCTCGCCCCTGCAGTCTGAGCTGCACACGACTGATGTGATCACCGAGGGGGCAGCAAAGGGCTCCAGCCGCCTGCTGATGTCCAGGGTAGTGCAGTCGATGATGAGGAGGCCCGGCCCATTGCTGTACCAGATCTCTGACCCGCTGTTGACCACCTCCATGGCCTTCACTGGGTAGGGGTTCTGCCGTGCATCTTCATCCGGGATTCCAAACTTGGACCTGTTGGCTGTGTGTGAGCACAGGTAGGAGCAGCTGTCCCGCGGAATGCCCCGCATCACGGGAAACACAGCCACAAGTCCATCGGCCAGGCCAGCCAGCACCAGGAAGGAGTTCTGTGGGAAGGAGACAGGGAGACATAGACAAAGGAATGTCCTCAAGAGCAAAGCCCTCAGAAAGGCTGGGTCTGCCAGCAGCAGCCCTGGCCCAGCACCCAGAGGTGGCAGGGGCCTGGCTTGATGTAGCCACGCCCACCCTGCCTGCTCCAAGGCCAGGGATATGCCACGGAGGTACAGTGCCCACGCACTAACCAGGTTACCAGGATCTGTAGGGCTGACTTTTTGCATTGTGTGGAGCACAATGCAATGTTTTTCCTTCAGGCCACCAAGGCCTCCCCAGAGGCAGGACACAGTGTTCTGTCTCATGTGATCACTGCTTGTTCATGTGACAGAAGTTGTGGGCATCGTGGGATCTGCTCACTGCTGCCCTAGGTGGCATACTCCAGAAAGCAGGGCAAGAGTCTCCATGCCCACCACTGTCCCTGGTACTGGCTGGACACAGGGAACGGGTAACCTTGTCTCTGTTGTCATCTCATTCATCACACTGATCTCTGGGACTCCACTTGGTTTTCTATTTCAAGTGGCCAATGTGTGGCCTGCTGAACTATTTCTGAAACAAATCGCTTCCAACTCATCTCTCTCCTGGAGGCGTGTCTCATCTGATGTGCCCATATTCTCAGCTTAGGAACCTCTGGGAGGTATCCTTGGTATAGTTGACACTGCTGGGGTCCTCAGGACACCCCCTAGGTCTGCAATAAAGCAAAACTTCATGGATGGAGGCCACTGGGCAGAGGACAGAGTTGCACAGACTGAATGCTGGGCCCCCGAGGGTCCCCAGGGCAGCTTCCAGGGCAGAGTAGGAACAGGACACAGCAGGAGCCAGAGGAGCTTTGCAGAGCTGAGCCAGAGTCAGGACAGTGCGGGGCCAGGCCTGGTGCCAGCGAGGGAGAGCTGCAGAAAGCTGCCTTGTTGGCAGTCAGGGAAGTCAGGAGGCTGGGCTGCCCCAGGTAACAGAGTGACAGTCTTCAGCTCGACATCAGGGCAGTAAGCTAGAAGAAAGTTATCAAAATCCATGTTTGGAGTTTTTAAGAAAGCAAGCAGCCAAGACAAACAGGCTCAAAGCCGGTGTCTGGAGTCCCAGCTTGGTCGGGCTGGGGTGGTGAATGCCATGTCCAGGCTGGGTGTGAACACGTGTGTGCAAGAATGCAGGCGTCTGCCCTGCACAGCCCCTGGCAGCCAGGCCTTGGAGGGAGCAGGCACCCCTCGCAGGAGGCTCTGCACAGAGCAGGCTTTATTCCCCCTGGTAGTTCGGGAGGTGGCGCCCTGGCTTGGGGCTCTGGTCGGTGATGGCCTTCAATGATGCTTTGTGTCCTGCCCTCCTGTGCTCTGCTGCATGCTGGGTCCCGAGCCCCCCATCCCCATCCTGGGGCCATGGCCATAAATGAAGCCAAAGTTCATTTCATACTTGTGTTTCTTTTTTAAGGAATGAAACTGGAACAGGAGAGAAGAGCTCATGTATTCCACAACCGTCAGGAGGTCATAGTAACACTCTCAATTTCCAAGTGCCCTGGCCCAGAGTTCTGGGCATCTATGAATCCTTTTCATTCCTACATGGCTGGAATGGTTTGATGATGGTCTACACACTTTAAGCGGCAGCACCAGGAATGGCTCCTTGCATGTTGACCGATCTCATCTGTGGTTTAAACAGGTCTCAAAGGGTGGACCATGCCAGAGTTGCCTGAGCAGTGTCAGGACCCCAGCAGGGCAGCAGAGGCTGGAAAGCCAGGCAACTGCCTCCCCTACAGAGGATGGGCCACGACCCCAACTCTGAGAACTGAACAGACAGGAGTAGAGAAGAGGTGTGGGCGGAGGGCTGTTCTTGGCTGGACGGAGAGGCCTGGGCATGGGATGTGGGGGGCAGCAGGAGGACCACCTCACCCTTCTGCTAAGGCTGGGTCTGATTCCAAGGCACTCCTCTGGGCTGGGGACAGCACGGTGTGCCCAGGATTAGGGCACTAAGAAGGTAAGTCAGCCCGGCCATGCTAGGCAAAGGCTGGGGCCGGGGTGGTCAGTGAGCCCTGGAGAGCAGGCTCCCCATGGATCAGAAGCAGGGCCGGCCAGCGCTGATGGCTGTGGGAGGCCCTGGTGTAGGCAGATGGGGAAGAGCCTCTGAAGGCCCCGCTATCAGGAGTCAGGTCCACACCGCAGCTGCTCACTCGCATGCTTTGCACCCGAGTCGGGCTGTGTCTTGTCTTGTGGATAGTAAATGCACATGCTAATGAAAGCCACCTGTACCTCTAAGGCAGCCTGCCATCAGGCCTGTGACCCAAGAGGATGCGTGTTTTCTGCTTCCCAGCCAGACACACCTAGGAGATCCACCCAGCGTGAGAGTCGGTGGTCAGAAACTCACACACCCACTTCCCTCACCTCACCTTTTTAATAACAGGCACCGCCAAGAAGGAGGTGACGATAGCCGGAGTGTCCAAGGCCTGCTGCGGGGCACTCAAGGGGCACATGCCCTTGAGGCTGTAGATGTAGATTTTCTGGTCCTGCAGAGGCAGACAGGCGACAGTGAGACCCAGGGGAGGAGGTGCCTGGCATTTCCCTTTGCAGCGCACCCAGCTGGGGGAGCCTCTTTGCTCCTTAAGTGAGGCCACGGAGGTTTTCTGGTTGGTTAGTTATGTAGTTCTTTTCTTTGTAGTAACTTTGAAAAAACACAGCTAGAGAAGAAAGATTAAATCGCCCCTGTTCCGCTATCCAGAGAAGGGGAACTCCTGGGATCTGGGGCAGTGCCTCTCAGAAATTCCATGTACGTGTATGCGTGTGTGTGCACACGTGTGTGAATGCAGACGGTACGTGCAAAGATGGAATTTTAATGCAATGCTGTCTTCTCGCTTTCGGGCTTTTGTTACTGTTTTTGCAGTATTGGGGATTGAACCTGGGGCCTCGCGCATGATTGCTAGGCAAAGTGCGCTGCCTCTGAGCTAAGGGCTCTGCCTCTTCACTTTTCTTCCCACTTAACTAAAGCGGGGGTGGCGTAAGGCACCACTGTGCTCCGCTCGGGGACCATAATTTGGGTGACCTATTGGCAGAGCCTCGGTTCGTCTCCACATCTCACTATGAGTTATCCTGAGGTTAGGATTGGTATTCTCTCTCTTTCCACCTCTGTCATGTGTTTGTGTGTCTTAGCTATTTTCTTGGAATAAATTCTTCAAACTGAAATTAGCAAGGCTTACGTGGCATGAGTATTTTTTTTTTTGTCTTTTTTGTTTTTATCAGTACCAGGGATCGAACTCACGACTGCCTGCTTGCAAGGCAGGTGCTTATGCCGCTGAGCTAAATTCCCAGCCCTGGCATGAGTATTTTTGAGATTTCTGACACACACTTGAGCCACACTTCCAAATGTCACCTCCTTCCAGACTGCACCATCTATCCATGACTCCAGAACACCTGATTTTGGACATGCCTCTCAGGGTTCCTCAGGAGACCTCTCCTGGGGCTTTCCAGGGACTTCCCCAGTGTGAGGGTAAAGGCCTACAGAGCAGACATAACCTGTTGTGTGGACACTGCAGCATTCCAGGAAGCCTGGGTGTGTCAAACCTGGTTTCTCCTCCAGCGGGGTCCATGCTGGACACTCATCACCCTGGACCTCAGCCAGCAGGGGCGGCAGGCAGGAGTCAGTGACAGGCAGGGCCCAGCCCTGAGGGGGACATGTTGCTGTCTTGCAGGATGGAGGGCATTGCTCTAGGGTTGCCCAGGGATGAGCTAGGGGCTACCAGGAAGTCAAGGCCCTGGGGCTGCACAGTGGTGGAACCTGCCCCACAGAGGGCTCTGCACGTGGGCGATTACCTCGGTGGCCGTCCACAGTGAGCTCTGGACCTTGAGCTGGCAGCTCAGCTTCATGCCGGCACACGTCATCTTCTGTACTTCCACAAGTCCCTTTTCTGTGTTCACCACGGTGTAATTCCTGTGGTCAGCAACAAGCAGGTGGTCAGTTCCCAGTGACCTCTTGGCTGACACGACAGCCTCAGAAGAGCCCTGGTTTCCCTGGGCCCCAGGGTACTCATGGGCAGCTGCCTGCTCCTGGTTCCCAGGCCTCTCTTCAAATAGATCAGAGGACCAACCAACTGCAATGCAGAACTTTACTTACTTTTTATGTATACTGTACCTTACCTCTGTTTCCCCTTTAGCTCATGCTGGAAATCAGTTTCCATGACAGCCGCATTGTTATTCATTAACTTTCCCCCAAGATCACAAATCCTATCTTAGAATAGCAACAATAAAACCATCGACCCCAATGTAATTACTGGAAATGGCTTCAGTGTACAGGCCTGCACTGGGACTGCCAGGGACCTCTAGCACTCAGATCTGCAGTACTGAGGCCTCTTCCATAAGACGGGCAGTGTTTGCCTCAGTCCCGCGCATGCGCTCCTGTGTCCTTTAAACCAGCTCTAGATGACTTAAAATCCCTGATTCGATGGCAATGCTATCTAATAGCTGTATCACTTAGGGCACAGTGACTGTGAGTACATCACTTCTTAGTGTGTGTCTGCGTAATAACTCTCAGTCCTAGAGGCACAAAATCTGATGCCAGCCTCACCTGGGATGACCTGAAAGAAACTGCAAAGTCCATTCCATTGACCTCAATGCTACTCAAGCTCAGCTTTATTGAAGCCTTGCTGGGCTCAGGTGTTCACCAGGGCCTCACGGGAAGCCGACTCTGGCTGTGAGGATTCCTCACCAGGCAGCTGGACGGAAGGCTCTCACACAATGGTGATTTCCTGGTGACTTCAGTCTTTGACACTCTGTCCTATACCCTGGCTTCTGCATCCTGAGACCTCCTCTTTGTTCCTCAAAGGTCCCTTCCCGAGTCCCCCCCAATCTGTACCTTTGCTTCTAACTGCACCCCTCCTACCCACACCATGCCAGGCACCCCATCTGACCACGACTGCCCAGCTCTTCAGCTCACTTGGCCTCGCTCGCTGCCATGCACCACAAGACTGGGATCTTTTCCTCTCTTCCCTTCATGACCTTACTGAGCCTTCATGGTCCTTTTCTGTAACTCAAAGACACCCTGAATCTCCTGTCTGCACCTCTCTGAGCAAAGCCACACTGTTTAGGATCACTTGATCACCCCGTCTGCAGTCTGGGGTAGCAGGATGTGCTGGAGAAAGCCCCATAACCAGCCTGGTGGCTCTCAGAACCTCAGTGTCTTGCAGCCACCCTGGATTTCCTTAGGGTGCATGCCTGTCTGTACCTGCTCTTTTCTTCTGGGATACTGCAAACCCCTTCATTGGAAGGGAATGTCTGTGGCCTCTTCTTTCAAAGGGACCCTCTGGGCTGGCTCTAGGCTCTGTCCCTCTCTCATCAAGCATCAGCCTCATTAGGGTCACTGAGCCCCACTAGGGCATCAGTTAACATCCTGCATAATCAGACTGCAAACAGTTTCTTTTCAAAGCACGATTCGCAAACTAATGTTTGCAACACACCTGGCCGAGCCCATCATTTCTTGGCTTCCCTTAACCACAAAAACGTTCGTGCTGACTCAGTTTCTTACTTCCTGCTGTTTTGAATGGACTTTAGGTGGACTCTGGACCACTGAACAATAATCACCATGGACGTTACTGATTTCTTGTTCTCAAATTCCACTCTGAATATACGCAGGGTAGGGTGGGTGGCAGGAGGTTACCTGGATTCCTCTTTCCCATCCCAAAACACCACAGTGTACTCTTGGCCCTGGGAGGAGAAGAAGGCCGTCTGCTTCCCACAGGGCAGCATGTACATGAAGGTGGCAAAGGTTGGGTCCTTCATCTGGCTCACCACGGACAGGGCTAGAGGACGCTGCAGAGAGAGGACACGGGCATGGGCATGAGCATGTCTGCATGTGTCTCTCACTGTGACATCAGGGGGGTGAAGGGAACCCACTCATTCAGGACCAAACCCTAACAAAAGGCTGAAGAGGCTTCAGATGCTTGTAACAAACTCGTCTGCACAGTTTGGTCACTGGCAGCCTCTGTAACTTGGGCCCAGGTGGTCAGGTTCCTCTTAGACCCCAAGTGTTTCACACTGTGCCCCCAATGCATTGAACTAGCTCCACCTGATTCGATAAATGAGTTTTAACCTTGAAATCAGAGCCCTCTCCAAATCAAACAATAAACTAGCTTTAACCTTCTTGTCATGAGCAAACTTTTTTCCACTACCTTACAAAGGGGTTTTTACATCTCCGTTTTGCACAGGGATTATACAGTTATCATACACGGTGAGAGGCTCGAAAAGGTTCTGAATTTTAGGGCATTTTGGATTTTGGATTAGAGATAATCAAACAGTAAAGTCTATGCAAATACTCCAAATTCTGAAATATTTCTGGTCTCAAGCATTGCAGATAAAGAGATATCCAACTTTTACTTTTTTTGACATGATGAAATGACAAAGTTTGGGACAAAAAGGTTGTTTTTCTTGCAAGCGACATACACAGAACACAAAACTAGGTAGGTTAGCAGAAATTGTCTCTGTCTACAAAAGGGGAACAGAGAAACATTGCACGATTGTTCTTGGTGCAGATGGTGGTCACCCACACAGACTTCCTACCCACAGGAGCAGGCGGCCTCAGGCTCTGGGACCCCACGTACCTTCTCCGGCTTTGTGTCCCAGCACTCCATCATGAGGGCCTGCAGTCGATGGAACTGCACCTCCTCTGGCTGACCCAGGATGGGGCGGATCCCTTTGGACAGCTTCTTGGCGATCTGAAGCTGGTGGTGGCCCAGCGCAGGGCGCTGTCCTGACAGCAACTCGTAGAGCACCATTCCGTAGGAGAACATATCTACCTGGGCAGAAAGGCAAGTCAAGTCAGGTCCCCTGCCCAGGCCCGGCAGCATGCTCTGCCAGCTGGTTCTGAAGTAGAGGAAGAGCAGAGACACAATTAGCCAAAGAAAACTCAGACCTTGCCCAAAGGAAGATCAGTGTCAATCTATCCACTGGGTTCTCTATTTTCATCCATACAACAAGCTAACCTACCATCTTGGCCACTTGTCTTTCTGTCCATTTAGCTATTAATTCTCTAATCTGGCCATCCATTCATCCTTTTGACCACAGGATCTTCTATTTATCCATCCATTTTTACCCATTCATCCATCCATCCATTCATCTGCCAATATACTATCTATATGCCCACCTGTCCTGTAGTCTTACAAATCCATCTTCCCATACTTTCTTCTTCCTAAACACCCATTCATTCCTCTGACTGCCTATCCTACTATTCATCCATCCATCCACCCATCCATCCGTCCATCCGTCCATCCATCCATCCATCCATCCAATAAATACATACTAAAAGCTTGCTAACCATCAGGCATCTCAAAGGATGCCAAGACCCTTGGTTTCACAGACTTGGCACTAGATGGGTTGCATACACAATTCACAAAACAGAAAACATCTCCTACATCTCAGCTTGTTGTCATATATCTCATCTTAATTGTCATAAAAAGGCCCAGCAAAGAAACAGTTATGAAGGCTCCTGTAAGGACCAAGAAATAACTTTTTAGCAGAAAAATGGCTGAGATAAGACTTGAAAAATATTAATGTGAATATTTTTCTCATCATGTCTGAGTCACCTGCTACTGAGAAGCTCTTATTTCTGTTGCTATACCGGAGTAGCTATTCTATGTTGGGCAGTGTCTAAAGGTGCTGAGTTAACCCACAGATGCTTAGGTCATTCTTAAAGCAATTGGTCAGGGACGTATCGGAAAATCACTCAGGAACAAGAAATGATTGTGAAGGGCATTTCAATCCAGGGTGATTAACAGGGCTGGTACTAGATGTGAAATGTGCAATCTGAGATGATTTTGAGGTGTTTGTGTGTCTGTATTTCTTAACCAGCTAAGAGGGAAGGAGATAAGCAATTAGCCATTGTCTGAACTGGGGCTGGCTCTGTGGTTGCCTGTGGAGGCCGCACGCAGGTAGGTCCATCCTGCCAGAGTATACTTTCCCTGGCGTGGCATGTGACTAGGCCAGTATCTTGTGGTGTCCTGACCTATGGTTCCTTTACCATTGTTACTCTATCTGCTTCTTAAAGCTCTTCCGACCTGAGCTAGAAACTCTTAAGAGCACAGGATTCAGAAACAAGTGTGCTGGGGGTATCTGAGCTCAGAAGTGCCAGGTGCTCCAGGACTGCCTGGCTGGCTTTCGATGGGACCTCAGCTCAAGACCTGCAGGGCAGACCTAGGAGAGGGCAGAGGACTGGGCTGGTACCTTCTCATCATACACGATGCGAGGCCTGATCTCTGGGGCCTGGTAGCCAGGGGTGCCCTCCACACCCAGGGCGCCCTCATGAAAGGACTGTCGTGAGATCCCGTAGTCTGACAGCTTGATGTTGATGTGCTCCTTGACATCCAGCGACCACACCAGAATGTTGTCTGACTTCAGGTCACAGAAGATGATGTTCTTCTTGTGCAGGTAGGCCAAGCCTGATGCAATTTGGTAGGCTATTTTTTGAGTTAGCATGTGTCCCAGAGGCATGAAGGAAGAATCTTGCAAAGAAAAAAAAATTTCAATTTTTGATAGAATCAAACTGTATTATAGCAACTGTTTTCCATTCTTTCCTTCTGTCTCCCTGCTGTAGTTTGTCTTCCAAAGCCCCAGGTGTTAAAGGCTTGGTCCCCAGCCTACAGCTTTATTTAGGAGGTAGAGTTTAGTGGGAGGAAGTTAGGTCATTGGGGGTGTGGCCTTGAAGGGGACATCGGGACCTAGAGCTGTCTTCTCTGCCATATATTACAGCCACGATGTACAGGGTTACCCCAGACCCAAAATAACAGGCCCAACCAACCATGGACTGAAACCTCTGACATTATGAGCCAAAATAAACCTTTATTCTCATTTTTTAAAAACCTTTGTTCTTTATAAGTTGTTTAGCTCAAGTATTTTTCACAATGATGGGAAGCTGACAAACATATTCTTGACTGTTCTGTATTCCATGGACACACTGTTAGGATTCTCCATGCTAGATGTCCCAAGGGACAGAGAAGGACCTTAAGTGAAATGGATGATGGACTTCAGAGAGATATGCTGGTCATCAGAGCTCCTTCAGCATGCCAGGCCTGGAATTGCTGGCATTTTTACTACCAGCAAAGATTCAAATCCCCAGGGTTCATCTTAGGCCATCACTGTACTGCTGGCAAGAGGTGAGCTTCAGGTTTAGGATGTCACTAAAGTATTTATTTTTGAGGGTGAAGTGAATGATTTACATAGTGTTTCTACCCCAGTCCAAAGGCAGCTACTACCCTTACTCTGACAGCAGATTGGAATTTAATTACCCATTTCTCAAGGTAAGTTCTCTTTAAATTTCTTTAAAGAGTAAGACATGCTAGAACACCAGGTTTTAGCCTTAACAGTGAGTGGCAAAGAGCAAGGTGCATTATGGTTAGGAGAGGGATTTATTTACACACCTGGAGGGACTGAGGTGCCAGCTGCCACTGCCCGGGTCTACGAAAGACTCCCTTATTTGAGGCCTGATGCCCTCCCAGTGGGGACTTTCAATATCCTTCTTTCATGGGCAGGTGAATTGGGACTGTTAATTGTGATATATCAACTTGATTGAATAATGAGATGCCCAGTAGATTAGCCAAGCACACTTCTGGACAGGCCATGGAGGCCTCGCCTTGGGCCCTGTACTTGGTCTTTGGCTCCTTCTTCTCTAGTGCTGTTCCTCTGCTATGCTTTCTGGCCACCATGAACTAAGCAGCTTTGTCCTGGGGACAGCCTTGGGGACAGCACACCATGGACTGAATGCCCTGAAACAGTGAACCAAAGTAAGCCTCTTCATTTTAAAATTGTAGGTGCCAAGTGTTGTGCCCCAGTGTCAGGAAAGATGACTAATTCACAAATGGAGCAGTCTCCTGGATTATGGCAGTGAACCAGGAGCTGGAACCCAAAGTATGAACTCCTCAGGCTTGGCCAATGCTATTGTCACTACTGATACCAGGTAAGATGATCAGCATGGAACAGGGTGCGTCCTGGGTTTAATAAGGCACCTTTAATCCACTCAGTGTCCCATTCAGCTGGGTCAGGTAGGTGGGAGTCCAGGGCCCCTGGCCTTCCTGAGGCTTCCCAGCCAGCTCATTGTTTCTGGTGGCCACCAGGGACATGGCTGAGGCAGCCTCTGGTGGAATGTTCTTTGAGGGAGTGTGGGTACCTTTGGCATTTTCAGACAGCACAGTGTTGAGGCTGCTGAGTGGGGCAAGCTCCAGGGCGAAGCAGAGTGGGTGAATGCTGATGCCCACGAGCGCCACGATGCACGGGTGCTGCAGGGCATGCAGCATGCTGGCCTCCTGCCGGAACTCTGAGAAGTTCTTCATTGCATCCGTGGCGCGCAGGTGCCTCAGCATGGTGTCTGTGGGGGTGAGATGGGAGCACAGTCATCAGCCACTCAGGGAGGCCAGTGAGGATGGGAGCTGTCCCACTGGACCTGGCGCTAGTGAGACCCAGCCTAACCTTACTAAGGAGCCACCCAATGGCACACGACGTAGGGGCTTGCAGCCCTGAGAACCACCTCACAGAGACCTGGGAGAGCAGGGATTTGCACTCCCAGGAACATGTTACTTTGTAGACTACAGTGGTGTCTCTCACAATTTGGCCCGAAGGGTAACGTTATAGGCTGACACCGAGCCCCGTTCCCTTTAGGCGCTAATGGGGTCCTGTCATTTGGCAGTTCCCCTGGATGAAGGACTGCCACGTGCCCACCCTTGTCACTGGGAGGGATCTTACAGCCCTAAATCCACTTACTGCCAGCCATCTGTGGGTCCCAATTATACCTCACTGCTTTTGCACCCCTGTGTCTTACTCTCCACCATCATTGATACTGAGCAGTTGGCCACTGTCAGTCACCTGATTCCTTACAAGTAGCCAGGGCCACTAAAGATGGAAAGCACCACTATTCTCATCACCAGCCACTGGCCTGTGACAGTCGCCTCAGACCAGGAGGGAGAAGGCTGCTGGTGGTAGCAGCCAATTCCGACACTGTGCTCTAACCTTCTTTCAATGCCCTTGAAATTCACCCCCAAGTGAGCGTCTACAGGACACCCTGGAGGGGTCAGAACATGTCCACCAGGCTGTGACTGGCCCACACAGGAACAGTTGGCTGAGGCCACCAGTCAGGATGTGTCCAGGTCCTGCTTATCTTCCTGTGTCCTGTGTCTGTCCCTGGTTAGAGTTTAAACTGGAATTGTTGGAAGTGAAAATTCAAACATGAAAACCTTGGTGCTGAAGGCCACCAACTGTGCCAGATGCATGCATATGCAGGCCATTTGGTTCTTGAGTGTAAGGGTTTTATTTCCACTTTGGGTCTCTAACCCATTACGAACATACATTTTAGGACAGTGTGAGATCAGGTCCAAATCTGCAAAGATGGTGACTTGTGATGTTGCCTCTGCTATGTGTCAGTTTTCTGAGCCACACAGGCTGCTTCTCTGTTCCCTACCAAGGCTTGTACTTGCCCCAGAAGAAATGGCCCCAGATTATAGATTATAAGACATACATTTAGGGGATGTTGCTTTTCCTTTGTCTTTCATTGTGTAATTTTCTTAGTACTTGAGCTTTTCTTATTGCATTTTACAGTCTGTCAAATTACACAAAAGCACACCCTGTTGGAACTCAGACAAGAACTAAGCTGAATGGTACATTTGGTTATTTCTCAAAGGCTTATGATTTTTATTGCTGCTACAGAGGAAAATTGCTGAGTACAGGAACAATGCTGAATTCCAATATTCTGCTCAAATCTAGCAATGTTAGCAAACTCTTTATTGTCTCTGACATTTCTTAGCAAGTCTGTTAGATTTCCTGTGCAGAGAATCACACTCTCATCAGTTATTTTTTTCCTCTTCCGCTGTGATCTATGCGTGTTATGATTCTAATTTTTCTACCAAGTGTGTCAATTAGTTTTATTTTTACAAAAGTAACCTGTCCTGAGCCAGGAGCAATGGGAGATGTGGTCTTAAACTGGTGGGGAGGATGAGGCCTCCCCAGGTAGCACCTAATAAGAGAAGATTAGGTCATGAGGGCTCTGTCCTCACAAAGGATTAACATGGCTGCGTCCAGAGTGGGTTAGTTATCTCAGGAATGGGCTTGTTACAAATTCGAGGCCAGTCTGCTGGTTGGTCTCCAGCCATCATGCTGTCTTCCTTTTCCACCTTCCACCTTGGGATGATGCCATGTGATGCCCCTCACCAGATGCCAGTTCATTTTCTTGGGCCTCCCAATCTCAAGAACCATTGGCCAAATACATTTCCATTGAAAATTACCCAGAATTGGGGGCTGGGGATTTAGCTTGGCGGCAAAAGCATCTGCCTTGCAAGCGCACGATCGTGAGTTTGATCCCTGGTACCAATTAAAAAAAAAAATTACCCAGAATGGAGCACACTGTTAAAGCAGCAGAAGGAGCCTAAGACAGGAGCTGCTGGGTTCCTCTTGGTGGGGACATGCCTGAAGCACTTACGGGGAGCTGGGTCGAGCGTGCCATCTCTGATGTGGGAAGTGGGGAGCTCCTTTCTCTTTGGGGGTGGGAGATTGGTAAGAAGTGTCCCAATGCATCTATCTAGAGCACCCCCTCATACCAGCACGGGAGACAGCATAGGAGGGGCCCTGCAAGGGAGGACTCTCTTAGGCCAGACTGCCTATCCACCATGGGCCAGGCATATACTGGCCACCGGGCGGACAGAAACAGCAAGGATGGTCATCTCCAAGAGTGACTTGCAGACCTTGCTTGATCTGGCCCTCCAGCCTGTCCCCAACCTGCCTGGCAGAAAGCCCTGAGTCCACACTGGTCTTACCCAACTCTTCACTGCCTGACTTGTTTGTGTGACCTAAGGTGGCACGAAGCTTGAACGGAGGAAGCAGGCATCCGCAAAAACACAGCGCTGGGCTGGGGCCATGTTACCTGCTGGTGCATTAGCGAAATTCTTGAATTTCTTGATGTGGAATCGCTTCACAGCCACGGGCTGGCCCTGGTACCGGGCACGGTAGATGACGGTGCCGCTGCCACCTTGGCCCAGGATGCTGCTCTCGTCCTCACTGTGCTCCAGCTTGCTGTTCTCCAGGAAAAGCCTGTGCACACAGAGCTCAGGGGTCAACTCAGGTGACCTGACTTTGGCTGGACTTGGGTGGGTGCTGGGCTGGGACCTTTGTTCCCATGATGGACAGACACAACTCAAAACCCTCTGTGAGGCTAGACTGACCTGGGATAAGCTACTACCCTCCAACAGCAAACCTGGGCAGCGTATGCAGCCTTCCCTGGCCTCGGTCACTTCCTGGGCTCACAACAGGAGCCGCCCAAGAGATGCCAATGCTTCCTGACTCAGGGTGAAACCGTTGAATACACTGGGGAACACCAAGGGTCTTCTTGGACGCTTTATTTTGAAAGATTTTGTGCTTTGAGAGCTGCTTCCCCCAGCCAAATTGCACTGACTATCTCTAGGTCAGTCTTTCTCTACTCTGTGTTATGCAAAGGCTGTGAATATACACTGCCTCACAGAGTTTGTGATCCGCATGACTGGCGCCCCACCACCTGGGAGGTCTGGCCACCTGGTCTGTGTGTTCTAATCTCAGGGAGAGACAGTTTCTGTTGGTTGTTTAAAATGTTGATGGTGGTTCTTAGACCCGTTGGCCTTCTCTGTGGATCTGCAGACTCTTGACTAAGGAGGCCAGGCCTGCAATGGGAAGAGCCTCCAGCCTTCTGGGCAACCCAGATAGAGCCATGGCAGAAGGATCAGGAGGGCAGGTGCTTCATGTGCTCAGACTCTCTGGGAGGGGGGACTGGCAAGCAGGGCTTGGGCCTTTGTGGCTTTGTGGGCACACTGACTCTTGGCCATCTCCAGGCTCTCACCTGGATGCCCCAACTCTGCCTCTTACCCCTTGAGATTCTTCTTTTAGATACTCACACTAAACTGTAACACCTCTGCAGCCCTTAGGGGCTTGGCAGAAAAGTCTGGGGCTGTTCTGCAAGTGCCCGCCAAAACCAATGTGTGGAAAGAGAAGGTGCTGGGGAGCTTTGCAGGATGGGTAAGGGAATCCAAGCTGGGGATCCCTCTGTTAGGACTTATGCAGATGTGGAAGGCTGTAGGAGCCACGGGGCAAAGCTCTGCCTGCCAAACTCTGCGATGGATGGGCCCCAGCTGAAGTTCAGAGTGCCTCCGCTGGATGGGAAAGTGGTGTAGATTATTATGCATTTCAACTTCCTGCCAAGAAACTTCATGCAACAGCTGGAGATTAGATCCAAGTAACCAGGGACAGTCCGATCTGGCTTCTCAAATTGCAGATAGTAAATTCCACATTCAGTTGGGGTCTCCAAACTCAGTCATAAGCAGAATGAGATTCAGCAAATAAATAAAAACCCTAAAACTCTGGAGAACCTTCAAAGGGCATCTCCTTAAATGAACTGGGTTTATGATTACACAAAACTGCACGTGGTCTCTGAGGACTGAACCCCCATGTCAGAGCTCGGCAAATGAAGGGTCATTCTGCCAAGGGTGGTGCTCATCATGCCCATCTGGGAGGTTACTGGGGATGCTGCAAAGAGCCAGGGAGGACTCAGCCAACACAGGAAGCATTTCCTTTCTTTACCATCGTGTTTGGGGCTGGGGATGGAACCCAGGGCCGTAAATACATGATCCACCACAGAGCTACACCCCCAGGGCCCTTCTCAACTTGACACAGTCATCCAGATACATTCTTTGGAACCCCAGTTCTCTGAACGTACAATGCAACCCACATCTATTTGGAGCAATGTGGAAACATGAGAATACAAATGTTCTTATTAAAAAAGCTTAATTTTCTTTAAGTAGAATTTATAGGCCTTCTGGCATGTCCTTTTCACCCCCTCTGCGTGGTACTAGGGATTGAACTCAGGGCCTTAGCACTAAGCTACATCTCCAGCCCTTTCTTACGCTTTATTTCAAGACAGGGTCTTGCTAAATCACTAAGTTGCCCAGGCTGGGTTTCTAATTCTCCTGCCTCAGCCTCCCAGAGTGCCAGGATTACAAGCCTGTGTCACCATGCTGGGTTTAAAGCATGCCTCTGAGTAAGCAAGCAACAAGACTTTAGAACTCCTCTAATGTCAGACTGCCTCTGGGGACGCCAAATCATAGTTTTGGGTTCCCACAGATCAAAGATGATGGCATCTTTGACGGATGACTTGGATTTTATGGCCATTTCCTGTTGGGTTGGGACCACAAAATGTTTTCTCCAGAATTCTCTCCCCAGTTATCATAAAGATGAGTGCTGGCAGAATCAACCCTAAGAATAGAGTCAGAGGAACCAAGCACTCGGACTTAGGGTGGCAGACGGGAGTTAGCATTTACCAAAAAAGGACAAAGAAGCTGTGGGTTTGGGAGCGCTCCCTTTCTCAGAGGCCAGGGAACAGGGCTCTGGTTTCTGTTCCTCCAGCCTTCAGGGGAGTTGGAGTCAGCAGAAAGGAGCACTAACTTCTGGGAGGGAAAGAAAATGCAGTGACCACCTATGGCTTCACCTGCAAAGCGCCCAGAGGCATCTGCCCCTACTGGCTCCAGGTAGCCTAAGATGGACCTAAGTCACCTGAGATTTGATGGGAAGTAATGGCTGGAATGGTTGCTGTCACCCCAAGGTAAGGCCACCATGCAATGACCCACTGAGAGGGCTCTGCCCTAGGCCCCACTGGGATCTTACAGCAAAGAGCAAAGTCCTAGCACCTGCCCTGTGCAAAATGAGGAGCCGTGGCAGCATACCTGGCAGGGAAGTCGGTCATGAACAGCTCGGGGACCAGCTCCTGGAGTGGCACTGGGTGGTCCGGGTGTCTGGGGCAGGAGATAAAGTCACGCTCGATGGCTGTCAGCACACAGTCTTCCATGTCAAAGTACTGCACACCCTCTGCCTTCTCACTGGGGTCAGCATGCTGGACCCAAGATGTCTCACAGACAGGGCAGGGCACGTACTGCTCCATGAGTGGGGTCCCATCACTTTCGGTGGCTGTCAGGGCTAAATGGGGACAGAGCAGGAGACAGCTCATGCAGAGTGGTCGAGCAGCACCTCATGGGGTGGTCTTCATAGCAGGGGTCTGTCTGCCCTTGCCTGGACCCCAGAGAGTGTCTGATTCTGAGCGCCATGCTGTAGGGCCTTCGTAAGAGTGCAATTGTTGGATCTGAAAGATTCTCCATGGAGAGGGTGGAGACACTGCTCAGAGACTCCTGGTGGCCAAATGCAGAGCACTGGCCTCACAGCCATGCAGTCCCGAGGGGGTCCGGGTGGAGGTGGGGTTGCAGGGTTGGACCTTAGCTACACCTCAACAACCAAGCCATGGCTATTGCACAAAGCACCCATTCTGCAAATCTTAAACATATGCTTGCAATTAACCGTGATGCTTTCCAGAAGAGAAATGCAGGGATACGAGGGCAAATTACAGCAGACAGAAGCTGGTCACTGACAGAGTATCTCCAACAGGGGACCACTCTTCCGTGTGCCTCCACTAGGGAGTGCCAAGAAACATCCTCTAAAGTGTCCTGTGGGGGTTCCCTCAGGGCAAGAGGCAATGGCCTGCCTTGTGCAGGTGGAGGTAGATGCCCGGGACGTCCAGTGTGTGTCTGACACTGCAGATATCCTGCTAAGTGGAGCCGCTGGCCATGGGCTGGAGATGTTACCTCCAGGATGCTTTGTCTCTGGTGCTCTGCTGTTTGTCCCTCTCAGGTGTTTGTCCAATGGACTCACCTGCTAAATTTCCCAGCATCTGTGGGGCGGGCACTGCCTGGTGGGAGGTGCAAAGCGTCTAGAGGGTTTATAGGGGCCTAGGGAACTCTTGGATGCCCAAGAGCCCCCAAGCCCGGCACTGGCACAACTCACATAATGGACTGTCTTCCCTGAAGGCTGCATCCAAGCCACTTTTCCTTGCGGCTCACCCTTCCTACCAATACCTAAAGGTCCCCAAGCCCTAAAGGAACCCAGCCCCTGCTGTCTTGTGTATTCAGGGAGCCTCCTGCCTCTTCCTTAAGTACTTTCCCTGGAGTACAGGGGACTTGGGTAGGTGAGGAGGCTGCTCAGAAAAAGCTGGGGCAGTGCCAGGACTCCAAACTGCTGTCCACTGTCAATGTTCAGTTTTTAGAGACTTCCCTCAGATCCCCTTTCCTGTGCCCAATAAACTCATTCCTGCAGGCTGCTCTGGGGGTTTGTCTCCACCTCAGAAGCAAAACCAACAGAGGACCTCAAAGGCTTCACTCCAGAAAGTGTTTTCTTTGGGTGAACCAGCAACTGTCCGTAGATCCAAGGGGCCTGAGAAGGGCTGTGTGCGTGGCTTGAGCCACACTGGGTGGGTGAGGTGGCAGGGGGAAGAAGTCCCCTTGGCCCTGGTGCTCCCCTCCCTGCCTGCTCGGCTCCAGGGGGTGATCTCCACCCACTGGCTCCCCTTCCTGTCAGCCCCACTGCTGAAATGTGCACACACTGCATGCAGCCTCACATAAGCAAGTCCTTGACCACGTGCAGGACCCGGAGTCACCTCTTCCCACGTCACATGCAGCCTGGGGCCGTGCCCTGTGATCCATGTCTCCCCCAGCTTTCCCTGGCCAGGTGGAGAGCTGGACTCTTTGGGGGCCAGGGCTCTTACTCAAGGGCTAAGACACCCCCTGCTGGATTGCTTAGACTGAATTGGGGTGGGATTTCTGTGTCCCCAAAGAAATGACCCCACCTTGATTTCCAAAGAAATCCAAGTATGACCAGAGGATTTGTTTCAGGATGTTCTTACCAGGAAACCACTGATCAATCAAAGAATTCACGTGATCTGTGATAAATGCCATTGCTGAGAAGTCCCTCATTTCTGACTGGCAGACGATTTTAATCCCTCCACTCTTTTTCTTTTTCCAGTTCACGTCAGAAGATTCCACACTGTAACCCAGAAACGAAAAGAAGCTCATTGTGATTCTGTTGAGCAGACCCTGGAGGGAGTCCCCCCCCCCCAGGAATGGACCGAGAGGCTGTGGACACAGAGAGGCTGGGGTCCCCCAGAACTGTCGGGGGCCTCCTCTCTTCAGACACCCGTGTGGGTGGGCCTGCTTTGTCTCTGTCCCCATAACAAGAAGCTTGCAGAAGGGCGTGAAGGTGGGTCTGACCCTCAGGTGTGACCTGCGGAAGCTCTTTTACTCTGAACAGTGACCCCCATCCATCAAGCGGAAACTTAACTTTGAGTGAGAACCTCCCCCTGGACCCTTCAGGCACTAAAAATGGCTCAAATCAGACCTGCTGAAAGTGACTTCCCCCTCTCCCTTTCTCCTCACAGAGCTAAAGATTGCTTTGAAAAGTTCATTGAAAAGACTGAATAATCTTGTGTGTTGATCATTCATTATGTCTGCTCAGATGAATTTATGTCTCTTTCTTTCTAAACAAAAAAGAAGGTCATCTTGCTAGGTCACAGTATGGGATCAGGACGGGGACCAAGTGTCTCCTTTTCCCCTCTGGCCTGGCTACTTCTCTCAGACCAGAGAAAGGGCTGGGTGGATGGCCCCACCCCAGGGGCTGTGGGAGGTGCCCAAGGCGGCCCCTGCTGCCACATCTGCCCAGCCTCTCCTGCCCTACAAAGGGACTGAACTGAGGATGTGCATAGGGAGGGTCTGGCGTTTCCAGCAAGCTGCCACCATGAGCTCCTGTCAGAAGCAGAATTCAGGGCCCACACAGGTGAGGCATCTTGTGGGGCTGTCACAGGGTCTTTGCCATGTTGCGTGGGTAACCCAGCCAGTGGGCTGCCGGATGTTCCCACCTGAGGTAGCCCCCATCGAAAGTGACCAGGAGCCCTTCCTGCCAATAGATGGTCTGATTTCTTTTCACTCTGAATGTGCTACAGCGATTTCTCTGGTTTCCTGTAAAACTGTAAATGGTGACTTTCCTGTTTCTGCTTTTAGTATTCTTCTTGTTTTCAAAAAGCTGAAAGACAGAGAGAAAAGACCCTGCTTGAGCATTCAGGCTCGGTGCTAATACTGCGCAGAGCTCAAAGCGGGCTGGCCCGGCCCCATCTTGATAAATCACCATGGGCTCCCCGCCGCCTCCTCCCACGCCTGTGCACAGCCCTGCTGCCAAATTAACGCTACATGGTCTGGAGGGGTCTCCAGGGTACCCTGGGAACCGACTTTTAAAGCAACTGGAAATAGGCTTTCCTTAAAAAGATCTTTCACTTCCTGACTTCACAAGTAATGTGGGCAAGACAAAAAATATAAGAGAGAAAGTAAAATACCAGTTAAATACCAAGCAGAGAGATCATCAGGATGTTGGCATCTCTAATTCCAGGCTTTTTTCTTTCTACATACATGTTTTAAAAAGCAGCTGAGTCCATATTACATTCCTAACTCCGTATAATTTTTGGGCCGAGGATGTAGCTCAGAGGTAGAATCTGACTGCTTTGCTCATGGCACCGGGTTCAGTTCCAACACCTCCAGAAAATGTACAATTTAAAATTTTCTTACATAATTAAAAGCTCACTTATAATTGGTTCTCTAAAGATAAGAAGTAATTTCCTGAACAATCCCCTTCTATTGCATATTTAGTTTGGCTCCAATCTTCTGCTCTTTCTAACATGCCGTAATGAATATGCAAAATGTAGATTTCTCTGACTTCAAACGGATTCCTTCATCAGATATTCAGGGATGGGATTATAGGTTAAAGGGTCTGAATGTTTTAGGCACTGGATGCATACTGAGGCTCTGGCTTTTGCAGTGAGACTGTCCTATACAGTGACCACCAATGTCCCTCTCAGGGGACAGGGACAGCAGCTTAGCTCTTTGCTAATTCTATAGGCGCCAGAAGCATCTCTGCTGTGTGAATCTGCATGCCTTTGATTACTGAGGAGACTGAACCCTTTCCCCATCACCAGTCTGAATTTTAATAAGATTCTTTGCAAGGGATGCTGCTGAAAAGGACGGCTGCCCCTGTGCCCAGCTGGGCCCCACTGGTGAGCTCAGCCTCCCTAGAGGCCCCCCACGTAGAGTTCAGTGGGACACAGAGTTCGAGCAGAGCACAGAGAGCCGTTACATCCCAGCCGCACCCGCTCCTTCCAACGTCCGTGCACTCCTGGCCTCATACAGCTGCCTGCTAACACAAGTTGGAAGTGTGGATGGGTTTTCAGGCTCTTGCATTTATTGTTCTTCCCAGATTAATACAATGGAAAGATCAAAGAGCCTCTTTATTGCGCCAACAAGTTATAATTAGATAAAGGTGTTCCAATTAGAATGCCAAAAATAAACTCACACAAAAGTCAGTGCCCAAGGGTGCCAGGTCAGCATTTGTGCCAGGAGCTCACCAACTGTAGAGCTGTCAGAATCCCCTGGAGGGCTGGTCAAAAACAGAGTGCAGGGCTCTACCCTGGAGTTTCTGAGGTTTGTATTGGGGCCTGGGGATTTGCATACCTCAGATGTTCTCACACTGTTCTGCTGGCCTGGAAACCCCACCCTGAGAACCACTGTCCTTGCTAAATATTACTTCCGTGTATTCTCTTCCATGAAATTAACATAGCCTGACAGAGGCTGCCTCTCCATAACCCACAAGACAACGCTTTGGGGTAAGTCTTCATCATTTCAGGTGGTTCTCAAGCTCCACTGCAGAGCAGAATCATGCCAGGCATGGGGCCACAGGCCTGTAATCTCAGCACTCTACAAGGGTGGGGAAGGAGGGACAGGAAGTTCAAGTCCAGCCTTAGTAACTTAGTGAGACCCTGTTTCAGCATAAAAAAGGTTGGGGAAATAGTTCAGTATGAAGACCCTGGGTTCAATCCCAGCACCTCTCACGTAAACACAAAAGAGCCAGGATGCCACACCTGAGATTCTGCTTTCAGTGGCCTAGAAAGTCAGACGGGTCTGGTACAACCCGGATAGCAAGTTCAGACTTCCAAAGTCCCAGGCCAGTGGTCAATGGTTGGAAATGCCAATTTCTGGCTTTGGTCCACTCTCAGTGACTCTCTGTGGGCTGAGCCCATCCATGTGTATTCTTTTCTTGTTAGAGGGAGCCCTCCAGGTGGTTTGGAGTGGGCAGAATGGTGTTGCTCTGCCTAAGCCAAGTGTGAGTGGATTTGGTATTCACAGGGTGGTTCAAGGGATGAGCCGAACTTGCCTCCTGGTTCCAAATCACCAGCAGGAGAAGGATCTTCAGTCAGCTCCCACTGACAAAAACAGTGTGTCCCTCCCTAAGTGTAAGAAGTCTGCTGGAGCCTGCAGCATGCGCCCCTGTGCAGAACCCCCAGCTACCTGCAGATCCATTTCGGCCAAGCTGATCAGCATCCGTGCTATGAACCTTTGCCAGAAGCCGACGGGCACGAAGCTCATTTTAAACACGCGCTGGATGGTGTTGGCTGTAGGGTGCCGCATGCCATGAGTGTCCAGGCCAGGCTTGGATGGAAGGAGGTGTGGCAGGAGGTAGCTGAAACACACCAAGGGGACGGTGATCAGTGTGGCCCAGGCTCTGCAGACGGCGGCCCTGGAGCTTGGCCACGCCCCCAGGACTCAGGCTGCCGGGCATCTTCCTAACACAGCCTTTGGGATCCTGGTTTCCAACAAGAGGGCTGGACACAGTGAAGGTAGTTATCGAGGTTTCGAAGAGAGACTAGAGAGATGTGAAGGGAAGCTGTAAAGACTCTGTGGTCATAAAACCGTCAGACACAGCGAATTGGAGCAGGTTCTGGGCAGACTGGGTTGTGGTTGGGGTTCACTGGACACTGACTTTGGTTGGTGAGAGAAAACAAATACAGCTGCACAGCTCTGAGGCACCGTGACGCTGGGGTCAGAGTCACTTTTTTGGGAGTCTTGGGAGTTGTTTATTGCTTTTGGCCAATTAAGATAACACGATTGCCTTAAAAGTTAGAGCGAAGCTGTTCTGTGCACAAGAGGGACATTTTACAAGAACACTTGTGGTCATCATAAAAATGCTGCATCAAGTGTGCCCGAGCGCTCACGTCTGTTCTTCTTTCAGAACGGCTGAGAGCTGGGAGGTCCTTCCCAGCAGGCGCCTCCTTTATGTGCTCTGAAGCTTGTGGGGAGGCACGGGGCGGGCCCGGGGTGGCCACAGGCAGGGGCAGCTCTGGGCAGCTCCCACCCTGGTATTCAGAGCTGGACTCTTAACCAAGACTCAGCCTCACACGCACACCTGTGCTGATCTCAAACAGCCCATCTGGATTCTTTGGGACTACGACCCCGAACCCAAACCGTACATATCCATAGCCTCCCCGCCACTGATCTCACTCCCATTTCAGGCTGCCCGTATGTAGATGGAATTAAACTGTCTTTTCTAAAGCTTCAATCTCTGGGTGTTTCCTCATCCGCTGTTAACATATAATATGATGGCATTTTATATGAGAGACTTGAGCATCGGTGGATGTTGATATCATCATGGGGTCTTGGAATCGATCCCCATTGCTATTGAGGGGCACCTGCCCCTAGAAAATCCATCACAGCCCAGTGACCTGATTATGGGGATGTGAATGCCTCCCTCTGTGTCTTGAGCACCCACAGAAGGGATGGGATCCCTATGGCAAGTCTGGTGAAGATGGACAGGGGCTGTGGTGACCCATGTACACGGTGCGGGCACAGGCTTGAGGTCCCTCTCCACTATTTCAGGTCTTGGGTGAAAGGACACTGCGGGCCACTGGGCTGGATGGCTCTTTCTTTATCCCTGCCTCCCCACCCTAGCATCCCGTCTTATTTCCTCACATGCTGAAAATTCCTTGTTTATTTCAACAGCACCCAAGGCAGGGCACAGCGTCCATACTGAGGAGCTGGGCAGGCTCATGCAACCCTGCTGAGATGAATCAGATGTGGTTTTGTGCCCTGCCCAGGGTCTTCAACAAGTGCAAGACCTCTAAGGCAAGCACCTACTTTCAGGAGGTTCATCAGCGCACCAAATGATCCCCAAAGGACCAGAGGGCTGGCAGACTGCATCGGAGGACCTGGCTCCAAAGGTACAGCCCACATCTCTGTCTGCATTGATTCAGAGACTTCAGCGTGGACTTACAAATGCTTCTGATGCAAGAAGCTGCAACTTGCCGATGGCATGAGGGAGCCACTGTGCTTCTGAGATAGAAAACGTTCAGCTCTTTAGGGCTTGGTGTGGAACCAGATACTCTGGCTGTGAGTATCTCATCAAAGAAACAGTAACAACAGCACTGCAGATACCAGATGCAGGAGGAGCTCTTGGGTGTAAGAGACATGGTTCTAAGTACTTTATGTAACCCTTGCAGCAATTCTAATACTAGCTGGTAACAATGTTATCCCTATTTTATGGAAAAGGAAAAAGAGTAGTGGGGGTTGATACCTGGACAATCTGGCTCTATGATACACTCCACTGTACAGCAAGCCTTCTCAAGTACTCGGCAATGTGCTGGCCCATTTTACCAACCAACAAATACACAGACAAGAACAGAGATAGATACAGTATATCAGTACTCTGCCTACCTGGTTTGCTTTACTGAACACCAATATCTCCTCATTCCCTTAAGCCACTGATAAAACCACCAGAAAATTATCAGATGTTGGCTTTGTAAACTCACAGGTTCCCTTATATTGAACTTTTTTTGTGGACTAAAGCCAAGGATACTCCTGGGCATGGGATGAAGGGACAAGGGATGATGAGTTGCTCTCTGTGGACTCTTTTCTTAGGACCCTGCCCATGGCCCCCATGAAACCAGGGGACAAGGACATGAGCCTTCTGGCCCAGCCTGTCAAGGCCACGTGGGAAGTTGAGTGGGGTGGGATGGGGCTCGGGCTGGCTCCCAGGAACTGAGTCTATACCCACAGAGCCTCTGGGTTGGCCACACAAGGTCCAGGTCAGCTGCACCAGGTCCAGGGAAGTGGGGCTCTGTGCAGCTCTGGAGTCGGGAAGCAGGGAAAAATGTGTAACAAAGGTCTGTGGCTCTGGGATACAGACTGCTGCCTCCTGGCTAACATCAGCACCAAACCCAGCCCGGGGATGAGACAAATGACAGGGAAGTCTTGAGCCTTGAACTGGCTTAGGAGAGTGTCACCAGGGACTAGGCAGGCACCAGGGATCTAACTCCACACACTCCACCCATGCCTGGTTTCTCAGAGGTCCCGATGCTGAGAAGGAAGGAAAGGAGAAAAGAATTAGGGAGATTTCACTTTGTTTTCAGTTTAGGACTGGAGACCTGGGAAATCACAGGCTCAGGAAGTCCATGGAAGGAAGCAGTGATTAGCCGTAGTGCAGAGGTCTCCGCTCCACCTGCACAAACATAACCACCCACTTCACCAGGGTGACAGTGCTGTTCCTGCATGGAATCACACCAGGCTGCATTTAGAAGCCAGGCTTTGCAATTAGCACCCCCATTACCCTCTCTATTTTTATTCCCTATATCCCCAAGCCATCAACTCCCTCCAAGATGAAACCCGGAAATTTTTCAAATGACATTTCCCCATCTTTCCCCAGACCTCCTCCCACCCCCAGACCTTTTTAATAAACAGATTTCCTCCAACTGCCTGGAAAGGGAAGCCAAGGGCACAGGAGGGGATGGCAGCTGGGTGGTTGGAAGCCTACTGTCCTGCCATGCCATGCCAGACAGCAGGTCTGACACCCTAGGTGCTGGCCGGCCCTGGTGGTGAGAGTGGGGTCACAGACCCCTGGGAATTTGTTCAGGGCACCTGTGGTCTCAGACCACAACCCCTTCTTCCAGGGCCACCTGCACTGTGTGTTACCTGTCATTCGCCACGGGCAGAGCGATCTCGAACTTGGCCAGGAACTGAAAGTACTGCTCCTCAGTCTGCTGCGTGAAACCCGTCCCCACCAGCAGCATCCTGAGGTCCTCTGCGCGGATCACGCCGTTCTTGGCCACTGAGCGGGAGCCCTTGATGTTGAAGATCCTCTGCAGACACTCGGACAGCCAGATGGGGTCGAGGAAGTAGAGGTTCCGCAGGCCGTGGCTGGTGTCGGGGAAGTGCAGGAGCGTGCCTGTTTCTATGAGGAAGTTGATGGCTGCCAGGGCCGGGAGGAGCAGCGTTAGCCGGAGGGCAGGAGGCACTCTGCGGTGACCCTGTGCCCCAGGGGGTCTGGTTGGTCATGCTTCCTAGGAAGGAATCTGCACCTGCTGGGCCCTTCTGGGGGTCAGGGGTGTGCACAACCTGAGCTCAAGTTCCCAGGGGCCCCTGAACTCTTGCCAACACCTGAGCCAAGGGGTAATGGGCAGCCCTAGAGGATTCCCTTCCTTCTAGAATTCCATCTTTGCAAATGCTCTACTGACCTGGGACCCTAAAATATAACACTCTGGGCTTTGTCAGTCACTGGTGGATGCAGGCAGAGCTGTGAAAAACCCGACTCGCCTGTGGGCCTGCTTCTGACTGAGGCTGATCAAGGCCGCACTCCGCCCTTTGCTACAGCACATCCCTTCAGGGACCCACCTAGGGCCACACTTTAAGTGCCAAGCCTAGTTTTTCTTTTTAGCGATTTTCCTGGTTCCAGTGACCCTCGAGCACAGTGCTGAAGTGCTGTCTGGTGTTCCTAAGCTTGAGACGACTGTGCTGTGCCCTACTGAGAAAATACTTGTGCTACACAGACACGGTTCAGGCACAAATAATAGGTGCTGTGGGCTTCCAGTTCTGTGTTAATGACTCAACCGCATATATTAAATGAGGCATCTTGGAATAGAAGCCTAGCTGAGCACACTGGTGCATGCCCATAATCCCAGCACTACGAGAGGCTGCGGCAGGAGGATACCAGTTTGAGACCAGCCTGGGCAGCTTTGTGACTCAGCTAGATCCTGTCTCCAATAAAAAGGGGGTGGCACTATAGCTCAGGGCAGAGGCCATGGGTTCATCCCTCAGTATACAAAGAAAGAGAAAGAGGAGAGGCTGAGGAAAAGGGGAAGAGGCCTGTGTTTATATGCATAGTGCAAGGTCAAGTACTGATTAGCTGACGAAGCTGCTGTGTGCGAGGTCCCCATTAATTCAGTGATTGCAGCCACTTTATAGAGTACAGCTGCCATGGAGAATGGGATGGGTTGCAGTTGGTGCACCTCTGTGTCCCCTGGTGGACACTCAGCGCTGTGTGGCTGCCCTCAGTGCCACCCGGGTGCTGCTGGGGATGCCGTATGCGCTTTCTCTGCCCAGGGAAAGGACAGGCAGGAGCGATGGCAGGAAGGAGAAGCTGGGGATAGGAGAAAGGACGGCAGAACACAGGCCCAGCCTCCCAGGCTTCCCTGGCAGGTGCCGCTGCGTGCCCACGCCCAGGCCCACCGGACTGCAGGTCCTCGTAGTCTTTGATGTCGTTGTCGGGCGTCTGCCCCACCAGCTGCTCCAGCTGCCTGTCCGTCAGGTATTGCACGTTGTCTCCCTGGCTGCGGCGCTGCTGCTCCGCCAGCACAGCCTCCTGCAGGCTCAGGTAGCTCCTGGGGATCTGGGGACAGATGGCTGTGGGTGGGTCCCTCAGGACCAAGGCAGGGAGCCAGCTTGGATAAGGCCTGTCCTGAGGCCTGGTCCAAACCTCGGGACCCCCCACCCCTCCCTCCTTCCCCTGCCCCACTTGCAACTGCTGACCCCAGGACACAGACGCATGCTTCACAGCACAGCCAGAGGGAGCGTGGTTCCCGACAGTGGGGAGCGGGCCCGGGACACGCACCAGCCTCCCCGCAAGCCGCTGGCAGCCGATGGTGCTGCCTACGTCCTTCATGTTGCACGTGACGTGGAAGATCAGCTGCCGCAGCCCCTCCTGGCCTTCCAGGCTCTTGCAGGAGATCTCGCTGTGTGTGCAGAAAGACAGGGGCTTAGTCACACACTCCGAGGAGGCCTGCGGCTTCTCTTGTCCTCCACTCTAGGACATCTGGGGAACTCATGGGGGAAGACTAAGGGGTATGTAGAGGGTTTTGTTGGTGCAAACCAAGGTGAGGGGAGCCCCGTGACTCATGTTGGTCTGTCTTCCCACCATGGGGAGGAAAGTGAAACACAGAGGTACAAGGTGACCCTCAAGGATAATTAGCTGCGAAGCAGCAGACTCGGGCTGGATCCAGCGCTGAGTCAGAGCCAGTGCTGTTACCACAGATCCCCAGCTGTCTTCAGGCCATAGCAGGGACACCCTGTTCCTGCATGCCGAGCTTGGCTGACAAGTCCCAGGCTTCTCTGCACATTGGTACCCAGGGCACTATGTCCAGAGAGAGGAACCCACGAGCCACCAGTACAGCTGCAGCAATGCCCTTCCCATCTGTACTCTCATCAGGAGACCCTCTGATTAACTCCCGGGCCTCAGTTTCACCATCTGTAAAATGGATACAATAGTCCTATAACCTGTATGCTGAGGTGAGATTCCATGGGCAGAAACTGAGTGGGGCAACAAACCCAAGCTGGTTGGTCCCACTTGCATGGCTTATCCTTCTTTCTTCTGGAGCTCCCTCCCCAGACCAGCCCCTATCAGACTCAAAAGCCATAGGACCCCTTAGACTCAACGTGACTCCTCAGGAATCTGTTCTTGATCAGCAAGTGGGATGGGCGGTGCCTGGGGGCATAGCCCTTAGTCCCATGGTACTGGCCATGGAGTGGGGAGAGGACCCAGAAAGAAGGCCAGAGACCACATCTCCGGGAACTGTCCTGCTAGGTGCTTGGTGTTCTGTGCCCTGCCAGGCATCGCCCTCCACCCAGGGGCACCCAGCCCAGCCTCAGGAGCCCTGAGTGGGCAGATCCCTGTGGCCAGCATGCACAGAGGCCGGCACAAACAAGTGCACTCACTGTAAGTGTTTGAAAGTGATGTCCGGGAAGCCAGTGGCTCTGGACCCCGAGGGTGAGCGGCACAGCGCCAGCACATAGGCACGCAGAGTCGCAATCCTCTCCACTCGGAATTTGGTTTCAATCAAGTCCAGGTGTGTTCCGACCACCAGCACCACAGCATTGGGGGCCTTGGCCTGGGATGGAGAGGCCCACAGCTGAGTTCTGTCCTTACCCACTGCACAAGGGACAGGAACCAGCTTGTCGGGTGTACAGATGTGCTGGGGTTGGAGGCTGGTGGCCTATACTCAGTCACCATCCTGCAGCTGCCATTTCAAGGGTCTACCATCCTCCTAGGGATGTTGGGGCTCCCCACAACTTCTTCCATGCAGCGGGTACTGAGTTCAGCCTGGGGAAGGGGATCTGAGTCCAGGCCAGCCTGAGACCAGAGGCCTATGATACCTTCTCGTGCATCCAGGGTGTATGTGCATGCATGTATGGTCCTTAAATTTAAAGTAAACAAGAAAATTCCAAGGACACCCCAATCCTCAGGCTGGAAAGGAGTTTGAGAGCTCCACGGTAAAAGTCAGCTAGGACTTTCTAGGGTGCTCTGTGAAAGCCCCTCAAGATGCACAGCATTTCTCCCTGACATTATCCCTTTCCTCTCACTACAGGGGACTCCTGGAGCGGTGGCAGGACCCCTGTGCTTCTCTGGGGACCAAAGACAGAAGGAAGGGCTGGTGCTTCTCACCTCAATGTTGAGCAGCCAGAACTGCAGGCTGGCCACGGCCTCCTCCCCCAGTGCCAGGTTCCAGACCACCACGTACAGGGCCTTGTCCGTGAAGAAGCACTGGTTGACAGTGGCCATGCTGGCTGGGCCCCCGATGTCCCACACGTTGAATTCCACAGACTCAACCTACTTGAGCAACAAGGCAGGACACGGGGTGCATTTTAGCGATCAAGGTTTTAGCAAACCACGCTGATAAAACCAATCAACTTCAGATGCTGTGCTTAGGGCTGTGAAAGAGATGGGGCCTTGGAAAAGTCAGCGGCGATGGCCCCTTGGGTCTCTTAGGGCTCAGTGATCCAGTGAGGCACAAGGGTAGGCGTCTAGGGGGCTTCAATCGCTCGCTAACTGGCTCCCTGGACAGGAGGCCTGGGGTACACGGAAGAGCATTGCGTGCGATCAAGAGGCACCGGCTGGAGGAAGCCCCTGCTCTGACACCACAGTCCCACAGCAGTTGGCTTCCTGGGCCCGGGCAGCACTGAGGAGGCGCCTCTGAACTCGTGTGGGTCAGAGGGCTGCGCCCACCAACGAGGATGGGAAACTCCCTGATATGGGAAGCATGTAACAGAACTGCTGGGCTGCTGGGAAGGCTGTGTAAACGGTGGTTTTTCTATCATCGGATGAGGTCACAGCTGGCCCATGACACCGAGGCTGCAGCTGGCGGGACTGAGAAGGAGTCATTTCCACGCTGCAGCGCCCGACGGGGCCTCCGAGACACAGACAGCGCGCTGACCTGGTTTCGGGTAGAGATGAAAGCGGGCAGCTGTGCTCCCCTGGCGAAAGGTCAGCCACACGGAGAGCTTTGGGCTCAGCAGCCACAAGGGTGGCTGGTCCTCCCTCGGTCCTAGGAGGGGGCCTTAGGGATGGCGGCGGGAAGCGCACACAAGAACCACGCAAATGGAATTTCATCCTTCCGGCCTTAGAAAACCACTGGTTAAAAAACTAGCTGGAAGAAGACGAGACTGTCAAAATGGAAAGCTCGAGTGTGTGCAGAGGATTCTGGTTATTTAGAGCAACTTCAGACATGAGTCAGCTAGATTCCCTGTTGGGGTGATCTGGGTGGGCCTGCTATCATTTATTGAATTGTTCTGACCGGAATGCACAGGACTCTGTTTTGTTTGCTTGTTTATGTTTATGATGGGGATAGAGCAGAGCCTCAGGCAGCTAAGCCCTCACTCTATTGCAAAAGGACCCGTTTCTGAGTCTCTGATGTTAGAATGCAGGTTCTGGTTAAGTGCCCTTTTTTCTCAAACTGGATTTCCCTGATTTAGGAAGTGGTTTTGTGGGAGAATTCCGCAGTGAAACCTACCCCTTAGCTTGCACTGTGCCTGGGGACTATGGAAAACAATCACGTCACATGTCCACAAGGCCACTTGGTGGCCCCTACACTGACCCCCTCTTTGGCCCTTGGATCCTGAAGTCACCACAGGCAGCAGAAACACAAATGTGGCAGATGGGGATGGCACTGTCTGTGCAAGTTCCCAACCAACCTCTGACACCTCCAGGGAGGGAGGGCCACCAACAGTCCAGACTTGTCTCCACTTAAAGAGCAAGAAAACCCCTGGTTCCGGTCAGCCCGGTGCTAAATGGAGAAGAGGGTAATGTGCAGGGCTTTTGGACCCTGCAGTGCAAGCAGAACTAGGGAGGACAGAGCACTAATTCCGGCAGGACTTTTCCAGACTTCTTGCTAGGGGACAGATAGATTCTGACGCACACTTTGTTCTCAGCCCTAGTGGGGGGTAGCACCCTCGGCCATTTGTCTCTGAGTCTTTGGGGCCAGGGAGTGGTGAGGTCTAAGCAGTGCTGTCTTTAAAAGCCACCCAAGGGAATCTAATGGAAAGCCAGGGATCAGAGTCCCTGGCTCAGAGCCTGGGTTTAATTACCACAGCAAAACTGCAAGGTCACATAAAGAGTTGATTTGCTGTCCTTGGCAGGAGCTGGGTTGGAGCAATACACAGCACACACTGGCCCCTGCAAACGTCCTTGGACACCAGGCGGAGAAAACCCTGGGGTCTCCAGGGAAGAGCTAAAAGGGCCCCCAGTAAAGTCCCTCCCACCCACGGGTTCTGCACGCTGACCATCCTTGACCTTGGCTTTGGAGCCCGCCGGCCTCTGGAGCTCCCACTTGGTCGTCCTGATGGTGGCCTCGCTGTGCGCCGCCTGGGGGGCCCTGCCCGTCTGCAAGATCTCCAGGAGGGTGGACTTGCCCTGGCGCGGGGGGCCCACGACAATCATCTTCATGAGCTTGCACTTCTCCGCTTTCCGCAGCTGGGCACGCAGGAAGGACAGCATGGCTTTGGGGCCTGCACAAATCACAAAGGGCACAGTGGACGGCACTGCTAAGGGACATGGGAACAGGCTCCCGCCGCTCCTCCTTGCTGCAGAGGGACGTCTCCCATGTGTTCCAAGTGGACAGCCAAGGCAGATGGCCGGTCTGGTGGAGGGAGGCCAAGATCCGAATCACCCCAGAATGAAAGTCAAGACAGGCCATTTTACCACGGTAGTAACTATTGCTCTGGGGACAACTTCACAGTCCCTTTCAGAATCCTGAAGCTGGAGCTGTGCCCCTTGGGTCACTCACTGTCCTCATCCCTGGAGCCTGGCAGGTGCACCTGAGTTACTTCCCACAGCCAGGGTGCCGGATCCCTACCTTCCTTCCTGATCTCCACAGGCACGTTGGTGATGTTCAGGTCTTCCACGTCCAGTTGCCAGAGGTTACCCAGCTGCCCCAACTCAGGAGGGAGCTCTCGGAGGCCAGGGTTGCTAGGTGCACACACACACACACACACACACACACACACACACACACACACAGAGGGCTCCCATCAGCCTCCGTGAACCGAAAGCTCTGCTGTTGGCCTCCACCCTAGCCCCACACTTGGACCCTGACTTCAAGTGTCTCATTTAAACACTGAGCCCAAAGCCTTCCTCCCTGGATGGTCAGTGGCACAAATGGCAATTCTATCTTGCAAGTCCTCACAGCTTAGAATTGAATTCCCGTCCCAAATTTCCTACTAGTCACACTAGTAGTAAGGTGACCACCAGCTCCTCATGAAAAGAATGTCAACTTGGTGGTGCATGCTGTAATCCCAGCACTCTGGGAGGCTGAGGCAGGAGGATCACAAGTTTGAGACTAGCCTGGGCAACTTAATTAGCAATTTAAAACAAAAAATAAAAAAGGGATGGGAAAGTAGCTCAGTGCCAAGGTCCTGTGTTCAATCACCAGTACCAGAATAGGAACAGATTAACACAATACTTTACATTTTCATCAAGTTTGGCACAATGCTTACAACCCCTGGAAGGATCTGGCCAGTGATGGGTGCTCAGCAAACGGAAGGATGAAGGAATGGGTGGTTCTCTCACTACACCCTATGTGAAGCAGCAAAGTGGGGATCACTGTGTCTCCCCCTCCACTACCTCCCGCACCATTCTCAGGTCTGAAAATCTCACTACCAGCTCTGCTGAGGAGACGGCTTCTTCCTGCCTGGCTCCTGGTCCCCAGGTGACTCTGGCAGGGCCATTCACCTGCCCCCCCGTGACTCACTTTCCCAAGTAGAGCTCTGATAAGCTCTTCAGCAGGCAAACAGAGGGCGGGACTGTGTCCAGGTGGTTGTCGTTCAGACACAGGACCTCTAGAGACTCACTCAGGAAGGCGGGGAATTCCAGCACACACCCTGCAAAGAAATGGCCAAGCAGACTGCATGTTCTTAAATAATTCTAGACCATCGCATGTGGAGACCAAGTGGCTGTATGAACGGATGCCACCTCCACAGGGCACCCTGGCAATCGTATCAGAACACAGTGCTCATCTCAGTGGTCTAGTGATTCGAATTCTACGGACATCCTTGTGTGCATCTGTGGCAGAGACGTGACAATGGTGACACTTAGTGGCACGCTGCTTGCAATAGAGAGAGAGAAAGGGCAACTACATGTCCACAGGAGGTCAGTTCAGTAACAGCATAATATGCAATTTTTCCCAAGCACAGGGCAGGTCACACGTATGGGATACTCAAGAGCTATTGATGAATTGAAAAAGCCATGTACTGAATCAGATTTCCAGGATTATCAGACGTCAGAACATGTCTCCAGAGATGCACACACCCACACATTTATGGCATGTACCTGCATGCGCACATACCACAATGCACGTGTATACCTGCATGTGTGACAGATGCACACAAGACACCAGCACAGTCATCAGCCATGTGAATTCCATCATCACCTCTGGAGGAGGGTCTTGCTGCAGGATTATATTTCATCCCACACCCTTCAGTGCCGTTGGATAATTTTGTTTCAAATATATGTGGGTTACTTCTTCAATGAAAAGAATCTAGTTCATTAGAAAGACAACGCTGTGGCCTAAGTCTTTAGGTTGCCTACGATGGCACCCTGAAAAATCAGCTGGCTGGTGTTCAGATGACCCCACTAGTGAGGCTAATTATGAGATTCCCCTTAAAAGCGTGTCAAATCTGCTGTTCCCACCGCTCAGGGCACTGGTGTTGAGAATGAGGCCCGGAGCTGGGAAACGCACACTCATGGAGGTCGGATCAGAGGTTTAGGTTTCAGCAGAATCTCTGAAACCCAAACCTTCAGGGGCAGGGAGAGCGCATGAGACAGCACATCTTGGAGCTCAGGGACTTCAAGATAAAAGCAACGCCTCAGAGTGTCCCCTGGGGTCCCCTGCCAGAGGAGGAAGACACAGAAGCCAGGACTCTTACTGGGCCGAAACCATGTTTGGCTGCCCTTGATTATAACTGTCCCGTTAATTGTGACTTTTCTCCACACAGGAGCAGCGGTACCAACAGGAGCAGGGTGACTGGGCCTCAGAGAACATTCTGCAAATCAAGATGGATGTCTGGAAAACATGCCGGTGTGGACAGGGCTTGTAGCGGGCACCGCCTTGGAAATAAAATCGCAGCAGACTTTTAAAGATGGCTTTGTCTAGACCTGGTTCTACAAGGGCAGATAGTTGCTCTACGGAACAATATTTGCTTAGGGGACCCTGACGAGGAGGGGAAGCCCATACATATTCAGTCAGAGGCAGACTCAGTTCAAAGAGGTCTCTTTTCTTCCTTCAGTGAAAAGGGGTGATCAATGTTAGCCTTCCCTAAATCACATCTTTCATGAAAGAACATCTGTCGCAAGAAAGGTTTGCCTTCTTCCCAAAGAAAGGGCACAGTCTGACACCTGGCTTGAGGGCGCCCAGTTTTAGAGTTGCACCCGGGTGTTTATGAAGGCTCTTTAGGTGATGGATGAGTGGGTAAGGACCCGCTGCTCCGGAGAGAGGCACACCTGTCACACACTCCTGGCCTGGAGTCCTAAGCGATGGAAAGTAGCCCTGCGAGAACACAGCTTGAGGTATTTATGAACTGTAGTTATTTATTCGTAAGTTATTTATGACCCTGCGGGTCTGAATTTTACCGTAAAAATGGCCAACCAAATTATTTTTGGACAAGGTCACGACACAAATATGACCACTTGAATTTATGTAAATCTCTCTAGAATTTTACTCTCCATCCACAGACAAGTTGTCTTTTATAGAGAGTTTTTAAATAAAATGTTTTATAGATAGTTCTTTACCTCAGGCTCAGGAGAGCTGAGAGAATCCTACTTCTGAAAAGTTCACAAGCTCACCCTCGCCCACCCCTACCTTCTGTTAGAAGCCAAAGATACAACACTCCTGAGCCAGGCAACCTCCAGGGGGTGGACTCCTGCTCTGGCTCCCCAGTTCTGCTCCTGGCTGCCACCAGCAAAGCCATTTCCCAGGACGCTGGTACCTGTTCCAAGCCTGTGCTTCACCCTGTACCCTGACCTCCCTGGCTGTGTGGTCTCCTGAGTCAGCGCCCCTCCGCGGCCTCAGAGGGTCTGCATTTCTAAACTGGAGGCAGCCTTCTCCTCAACCCAGCATAAAGGCTCAACCTGCCAGCAAGTGACTTACGTGACCACGACGCACCCCAACTCCTCTTTTTGTGCCCATCACCTCATTTGGCATCAGTGAAAAGATAGGACTTGTTTCTCCTTCCTTCCAAGAGAAATCCCTACATCTGCACACAATTTCTAGAGTCCAAAGGCCCTTCGTTAAAAAGGATCCAGTTATGAAACTGGTAACTGTACTTCCCTATTTATGCCTCAAAGGATCTTTTCATCTGTCTCCTGGCTGTCCAGACTTCCTTTCCTGCAAGCTGTTTGTATCTGTTGCTCATTTTTTAACCGATTAGATTGTCTTTTTTCTTTAAAAAAAAAACTCATTTGTAAGCATTCTTGTCTATTAAGGACTTGGGCCAACTTGTGTTGCAACAGCTTCTGCTGCAAATATTTCTTCTCTGCACGATGAGTTTGTTTATAATTCATTTTATCGAACAAAACTTTTCAATATTTATACAGCCAAGATTTTTCTCATTTTAAAAAATTATTTCTGGACTTTCCAGTTAGCTTTTAAAAGTCTTTCCCACCCCGGAACTACACACATATTTTCTTAAGTGTTATTTTGTTTTCTTTTCACTTAAACCTGCTACCTGCTACTTTTTTTTTAGCTACTGAGGATCAAACCCAGGATCTTTAGATCGAGCTACATACCTACCCTTTTAATTGTTTGAGTTGTTCAACCTGGGTTTGGATTTGAGATCCTCCTGTCTCAGCCTCCAGAGTTCTGGGATTACAGGTGTGCATTATCATGCCTGGCTCGCATAGAGACCTTTGTGGTTGGTGTTCTACTAGGACATTTTAAGCTCCATGCTTCCCCTGGTAGCTAGATACTTAGTTATACCAATACCAGTAAAGCAATAAAACATTCTTTTCTACTGAATTGCACTGTCAGCTCTGTCATACAGGATCAAATTCCCATACAGCTGTCCCTCTGTATCTGCCGAGTCCCCCAGAGATACAGAAATCCATGATGCTCAAAGCCCATATAAAATGGCAAAGCATCTGCAGAGAACTTACAGGCACCCTTCTCCCATGGCTCCAGGTGACCTCTCGATGGCTTCTAAAGCCTAACACCGCGTGCATGTTATGCAAATAGTTGTCCTCCTGCATTTGGCTAGGGGACAGTGACAAGCAGGAAAATCCCGTACATATTCAGTATAGATGCAAAGTTTGTTAATATTTTTAATCCAAGGGTGGCTGAATATGTAGGTGCAGAGTCTGCAGACACAGACTGGCTATGTTTACTCAGGTTTGGTTCTGGATTCTTCCATCTGTTCTACTGATAGGCTGTTACTTTTCCAATCATATGCAAACACATTATGTATGACCGATCTGTGTACCTACCACATGTGCACACACACAGAAGACCACCAGAAAGTGCAACAGGTGGGTAGACAATCCAGTTCACCTCCCGCAAGTGTGTCCCAGCCTCTGCCATATTTCTCTTCCCCGTCTCACACTGTTTTCCATCAATTCATTGTGCCAAAGAAGAGAACTACAGTATACCCAACACGACCTGAATTTCTGCTGGGTAATTCTGTGAAGACAGCTGGCTTTAGAAGTCTTAGCTTTGACCACAAAGTCAATCTCACAGAAAGAACAGAACAGTGGTTACTGGCGCCTGGGAAGGGCACAGAATGGAGAGGATGTTACGGGTGCAGGGCGCAGGAGGATGGGAGAACGATCTCTGATGTTCAACAGCACAGTAGGAGAATTACAGCTGGTGGTAATTCATTGTATATTTCAAAATTTCCAACAGAGAGGGGTTTAAACGTTCTCCACACAAAAGGAAGAAGACCTCTTGTGGTGACAGAAACGCCAACTGCCTCGATCTGATCATAGTACCCTGAATACAAGTATTGAAATGTCATGTTGCACCTCATAAATATGCACAGTAACTATGCATCAACTAAATATCCTGTGCTGACCTGGCTGTTGAGCGATGGGGACAAAACCTCTAGGGAAAGTCCCGCTCCTGGCCCACTAGGGAAGACCACAGGCCTTCTGCTGCCTCAGCCCAGCTTCAGCCTGGGCGGCCCAGCCTGGCTGCCCGGCTTTGTGGACATTGGGGAATGTCACTGTGTGGCAGGAGGGGCTAACCATATGGCCCTCCTGGCCCCAGAGCTGGATCCCCCCAGTCCCAGTCCCGGGTAGAAGCCTGGTCATGCCACATGACCTAGGACCAGTCAGTGGACCTCTGTGCCACAGGCTGAAGTGTGTCCCCCCAAATGCAAATGTGGGGGCCCTGAGCCCCAGCATGGTGGTATCTGGGGCAGGGCTATTGAGAGGCAATCAGGTTTAGCAGAGGTCTTGAGGGAGGCCCTCAGGGTGGTCAACATCCCTAGGAGAGGAGGAACAGTCCTCTTCGTGTCCCCTCCATGGAAGGACACAGTGAAAGGCCGGCCACTCACGAGTCAAGAAGAGAGCCCCGATTCACTAGGACCCCACCCTGCCGGGGCCTCCAGGGCAGGAAGGCAGCAAATGGGAGTCGTACAAGCTGCCCAGTTTGAGGCTTTCTGTATGGCAGCCTGAGTGGACTGCACAGCCTGGAAGCCCCGATTTCCTCCTAGTGAAATGAGCTGCTGCAGCCCATCCCTCATGCGGTGAGGCTCAGACTCCAACTCTGGACGTGGTCAGTGGCTGGCATGCTTGCAACAGCTACCAGCACCCGTGGACTCCAAACTGGAGACCAGGGCCTCAGGACACAGGTATGGCACTCATGGAGTGAAGCGTCACTCACTCGTGGGGTTTTCAGCCAACAGCGGCCATCTCTGGCATTCCAGCAGGGCAACGAAGGAGAAACCCCAACACAAGCCGGCTGCAGTGGACTCCTGTCCGCCCCCCCACCCAGCCCGCCACACCGCACACACCTGCCTCGGTCCCCGAACGCTGGCGGCCTCTGGTGGTGAAAAAGGAAATGCGCTTTGTTTTAAGTCCATCCTCAGTCCTGCAAGGTGAAAAGAGGAGCCAGCGTTTGAGAAGAGCATCCCAGAGTACCATTCGAGCTGAGACTATGGAGCAGAGCCGCAGAGCACACAGCGATCCCCGCAGCACGGGTTTGCGCCTCTGCAGCTCATAAAGAGCTAGCGGAGCACAGGGGACTTTGGGGAAAGCCTTGTAGAGAGGATTATCTGCTGTGGGGCTGAACACTGGTTTCCACTCCCAGCTTTTCCACTGCAGCAGAGGCCAGGCTTTCACTGCCCAGCCTGGCCCACCCTGAGGGAAGCTCTCTGTGAGCGTGCATCCTGCTGAGATGCTGAGGAAGTGACCTTCAGCAAGTGACCGCGGGCTGGTCCCCCTGCCCCAGGGCCCCTGGGCCGGTCTCCACCTTTTCACCCTTTACTGGAAGGCTCTCAGGTGGGTACTTCTCACTCAGGCTGGTAGCTGGTGATTGGCAAAGACTTCAGCTAATGTGAAGGACAAGATTGTACGGCAGCCTTGAGAATTAGAGATTGAAGGTTGCTGCTATGGGCCAAATTGTGTGCCTCAGAATTCACACGCTGAAGTCCTAAGCTGCAGGATCTCAGAACACGACTGTATTTGGAGATGGAAGTTCAATGTCCCTACTCCAAAGGTCTGAGATCCACATGGCTACGAAAATCTAATTCTATCAGTGCCACAGTAGAAAGTTCTACACCTGACCTCATGGGATTGGTCACAGTCAAAATTCAGGCACACTCAACATACTGTGTTTAATGTAATCTCCAGGCTATAAGGTGCCCAGAAAACATAAACACATTTGTGTTAGACTTGGGGCCCCTCCCCAAGGTGTCTCATGATGTCAACGTAAATATTCCCAATCCAAAACACTCCTGGTCCCAAGGATTTCAGATAAAGGATGCCCAACGTGTACAGCAGCAGGGTCTTTGAAGAGGCAATGGAGTTCACATGAGTTCATCAGAGCGGGCCCTAATCCAATGGGTCCTTAAAAGAAGAGGAAATCCAACCGCTGACCCACACAGAAGATGCCCCTGGGGGACACATGGTAAAGCCAGGATACCCAAGCCAAGGGGAGAGGTCACAGGAGAACCCCGACCTGCTGACACCGTGACCTTGGACTGCAGCCCCAGCACCATAAGCAGTTCGTTTTGCTGTGGCTCCACACTGACACTAGAACATCCCCAGGGCCTGTCTCCTGTGGTCACGCACACATCTAGGGACACATACCCCCTGCTTACTTGCCAAATTGGTTTCTGGAGAGGTCCAGGGTTTTGAGCTGTCTGCAGGTCCACTTCTCCTGAGGAGGCAGGGCCACCAGCTGGTTTCCCTGGACCCTCAAGAACATGAGGGCCTGAGAGGGAAGGGCGGAGAGAGAGAGAAAAGATGGCATCAAATACAGAAAAGGAGGCCAAACTGAGGAGAAGTCAGTCAGCTGCCCCACACATTACGGTCAAACAGTTGTAACTGATTTCTCTTTACAGAGGTCCCAGTTGTGTGGGACCTGGATAGTTTAGGGACTGAGTGAGACCCTATCTCAGAATAAAAAAATATAAACAAGGGCTGTGGATAGGGTCAATTCAAAGGCCCTGGGTTCAATCCGCATATGACAAAACAACGAACGAACGAACACACAGGAGATTCTATCACAGCAGGTGGAATCAAGTGTCTACACAAGAACTTCCCTCCAGGTCCAGAAGGGGCAACTGTGGAATGAAAGGAGTCCAAGCTCTTCAGGAGTTCAGAAATCCCGAGTCCCTATGAGTGGTGACCTGCCCCAGTCAAGTGCCCTCTGCTGGCCATCACAGGGTTCCTGCAGCACCCCTGTGGTGGTCCAACTTCTACCTCTTTGCCTTGTGGTCACAGGTCCACTGGGAGACCCTGCTCACTGATGGGGACTTGACCCTTGGACTTGGGACATGTTTTTCTTTAGAGGAGTGCAGGACACACGCTGTACCCCCTTCCTTGATGGCATCACCAGGACCCTGACTATCCACATCCTGAGTGGTCCGGGAGGGCAGCCAGGCTGCTGTCCCTTGAGTTTCTGATTCCTTCCTGTTGAGGGGCTGATGTCACCACCTACCATGAGAACCGGGGTGGGCGTGCCTGTGGCTGGCTCAGACTTGGGACTGGTCTGGGGACAGAGCCAACGCCCTGGTCCTCCTGGAAGAGGAGACCATGAGTGAACGCGCCCTTCCCCAAAGCCCGGCGGCTAGATCTGTACTATGTGGAAACCAGAAAACACCAGCAAGGTGTTGATGCAAAACAAGGAAGACACTCAGAGCAGGGACCTCAGGGCAGCAGACAAGAACTCGTGGCCCGGAGAGCCCTGAGGGCCGCTGGGACCTGGACCCTCGCCCACGTCCTGAATGGCTCTTTTCTCTCTGGCTGTGTAGTGCATAGGCTCCTCTCTTTGGCTAGTGTTGTCCAGAGGCTTATCATTCTAGGGTCCCTCCTCTCTGACAACTGCATGAGACCATTGCTACTTTGTGGGGACCCTCAGGGAGAGATCGTGGGGGCTTTGGCTGCTGTGTCCTAGGACAGTAGCTACACCTGGGCAGTGTAGCCCCTGTATCCACCATGTGGGGCAGGGGCTGCCCTTATGATTTCTGTAATCACTCAGCAGTCCCTGTTCTGGGGCCGACCTGGCCTCTGTGTGCGGCTCACAGATAGCCTTGGGGGAGCTGGGCATAGGCATGAGGCCTCTGGGAAAGCCCTCCCCAAGTTCAAGGGCCTTCTCCCTCAGTGGGGCTCCCCAGGAATGGGGAAGGGACAGTGCCAGGAGAGGCCACTGGGTAGTACACGTATGTTTCAACATAGAAGGGTAACAGCCTGGGCAGCTGTGGACTGTGTCTGGATGTCCCCTCAAAGCCTCGCGTGGTCATAGGGTCCTTTTGGAGGAAGCTGTGTGATTGATTCATGGTTCAGTGCTGGGATGAAGGGTGTGAGTGCTTCACTGGGCCCTAGGGTGGGTGACCTGCTATACAATATGAAGGACAGAAAGAGGTTGTTCTCTGTCTCTGTCTCTGTCTGCTTTTGCTGACTTTCATCACCATGAACTGTCGCCCCTCTGCCACACCACCCTGCCTTGGAGGACTAGAACCTCTACAAACTGAGCTAAACAAACCTTTCCTCCTTTAACACTGAGTGTCGGGTATTTGTCCCAGCAACAAGAAAAGTAACTAAAACTGCCTGCTCCAGTTTGGATCTGGAATGACCCCCAAAGGCCCCAAAGTATGGCCTCCAGACCATAGTACCATCAGGAAGTACTGGACACTTCTGAAAGAGGACACTGAGCTGCTGGGGACAGCGGAACTCTGCTCCTTCCTCCTTCTCGTTCTTTGGGGTCGGGCCATGAGGTGAACAGCTCCGCCCTGCCAGCCCCACACACCCTGCTATGATGTTCCACCGCACTACAGCCCCAAGGGCAACGGATTGTGGACTGGATCCTCCAAAACTATGAGCCCAGACAAACCTTTCTCCACTGTAAGTTGGTGGCCTTGGGTATTTGTGACAGTACTGGGAAGCTGACCCGAAGAACAAACCCCTAATCCCATCACCTGAGGCCTCTGCATGCCCCAGCTCCCCACCATGAGCGCACACATTTATTATAGCTGACCTTTCCCTAACCCCCTTTTCCTTGTCCCAGAAGCTTAGGAATGGAAAACAGATTCCACCGCACTGTGCAGTAACTTTTGCCACCAAAGCTGAACAAGAGAAGTGAAGTGCTACCAGACTTACATCAAGCTGAAAAAGCCCCAAGGGAACTTCTTTCAGGGCATTTTCTGAAAAATCCACATCTTTAAGGTGATTTTTCCAGAAGATGGACATTTTGTCTGGCAGAGATTCCAGGGCATTTTTGGATGCTTTACAACATTTCTAGGAGTTCGATGAGAAAGCAAATGGATATTAATTAGCTTTTTCAATGCAATGATGCCTGTAAGACTGTTTGCAAATCTGATGTTAAAAATAAGGCCACTGTCCACAGGGCTCTGCCATACATAAGGGGCAGTGTGGGTCCAGAGGCTACAAACTCTTGTTGGCACTGTGATCTTGCCCTGCTCCGAGGAAGGGAGGGGATGGAGTTTTTTGGGAGACAGAGGGGTTCACAGCCCTTCTCCTCCATCCCAGAACATCTGTCCCATCGTCCCTAGACGTAATGGAACAATTCAGAGCCATGCTGGAGCTGGCTTCCTGCACACATATGGTCAAATAGAAATGACAATGCAAGTGATGGAGTATTTCCAGGTTGAAAACCAACAGCAATAAAGCACAAACATTTGTTGCTGTTGGAGCACAAACACTCCCTGTTTGAATGAGCCAAGTCCTCAAGAAACAAAAATATCATGGAACTGGCGGTGCTGCGAATGCAGATTGTTTCTTATTCTTTATTTTATGGTTCTAAAAGAACTTAACCCCGCCCCCCATTGTGGGCAGAACCATCGTCCTGTGCGGGGGTGCAAGCTGCTTGCGGAAGGCTCCATGGGTGTAACCTGTGGCTGGTGGTGCAGAGCCAGGAGAGCTGGTTCCCAGGGGAGCCACCAGCCTGCACCACTTGGCCTTGCTGCAGTGCTGAGGGACAGGGCTGGGGCTCCTCCGAGCCACTACCCCACCCTGGGACCCCACGTGACCTCCCAGGAGATGGAAATGTGAGACTGCCCGGAGACAGCTGCCCAGGGGTTCCCTGAAATGCCCAGGGGTGCCTTTTGCAACTCCCCTTAGGATACTCACCAAAGGGCAGGCCCAGGGGTCTGGAAACACCTTCAGATTGTTTCTGGAGACATTCAGACAACTGAGCGACTTGAAAGAATGCAGGAAAAGGGCGGGAAGTTCTGTCAGTTTATTGTCAGACACATCAAGTTCCTGTAGTTTCCGCAGACCAATCCAGTTGGTGGCTGGGGGAGGAAAAGGTGGAATTGGTTTTATTTTAAAATTCTTGCCAGGAAAATGACTTAGTTACACCAAGCCACTGATGATAAAACATACCACTTTCTTCTTCGAACAGTTTTTCTAAATAATTTTTAGATGCTGTCAGTTTTTGAAGTTTGGAAAGGTGTAAGAATCCAGGTGGGAGGTGGGACAACTTGTTGCTGGAGATGTCAATTTCCAGGAGCCTGAGGTGGGGGAGAGGCAAGCCAAGTGGTCAGAGGAAAGGAGAGGAATACCACATCATGCTTTTCTTTTAATGAGGTACTATTCCCTCCCCCGCGCCCACACACAGCTCGAGAGTGCACTCAAGTGTGGCACGTAGGATCTGCAGTCACTCGATCCACTGCTGCCACATCTGGGGTCAAGAGGATGGGATCTCTCTGGGGAGACCCTGCTCCCTCTGGTCACCAAGGATGAAAACATGTGACGGAGCAAAGTAAGACAGTGTCCTGCAAGCTGATGGAAGACCAAGGGCAGGACCCAAGCTTTTCAGACCCTTGTGGCCTCACCACCCTGCCCCTGTTAAACAGCGTCTGCACGTGGTCCTTGCTCTTGAAGTTTCTGGTGCACAAAACTCGCCTGTGAGGCCTACAGGCTCTTTCTGACAACCTTGTCTCTTACTTCATGGAGAGCCTTAGTGTTTGCAAGCAGCTCAAACCCTTTACAGTGCGAGGCTCTGCAGATGCAGATCTTAAAGGAACCCCAAGGCTCAGGTTCTCTCAGTGCCCCCCGAGAAAGCAGACAGGGGCTCACACTGTCCCCATACTGCCAGAGTTCTGCAGAGTCACCCCTTTCTCCCAGGCCCCCTTCCCACCTTCCCTGGGGATGGCACATAAGGTTTCCATGGCCCAGGAAGCGATCGGCCACTGTCCTGAGATTCCTGTGCAGGATCAAGACTGGCACCCTGGCCATACAGTTCTATGTGGCCATCAGTGTGCAGCCCTGGCCTGACCATCTCTCTGAGTTCACCTCCAGAGAGTGGAGCAGAGTGGCTCCGCTGCTTCCCAGAACTCGTGTAACCACCGGCAGGACTTTCTTCTCACATTTTAGCCAGAATTGTTTCAGAAACATAGACGCAGAAACCACACAGGAGGTCAGTGGGGTGACCTGGGAGCACTGCAGGCCCACCTGGAGCAGATGATTTCGTCCGATGACTGCACGCCGGGCAGCTCTCCCAGGTGGTTGTCTGAGAGGTTCAGCTTCCGGAGGTTGATGAGGCCCCAGGGGATGACGGAGGGGAGGGAGGCCAGGCAGTTGGCAGAGAGATCGAGCTCCGTGATCTGGCAGGAGATGTCGATGAGCCAGTCGAGGTTCACCCAGGGCAACCTGAGATGGGACCATTTCACACGAAGTGGCTGATGGCAGAGGAAGAGGAAGAGCACAGTGAACAGTGAGCCTTTGGGAGACGCCGGGGCCCAGCTCATCCGGGCAGCCTCCCGGTTCTGCCTGGGCGACCATTCTGAGTTCCAGGCAAAGCTCCAGCAAGCCACCCTCCAGCCTCCAGAGGATGCAGGTGGGCTCAGAGCAGACTCAAGATGCTGGTCCTAGCCAGGGAGGAAGCATAGCAGGAATCGCCCTTGTGGAAAAAAGGAGGCCCACTGAGGCTTGGAGAGGCCTCTCCCAGGCTGGACATGAAGACCAAGATGCAAACCTGGTCTGTGACCTTTTTTCAGGAATCAGGGCAGCTGTCGTCTGCAGCCCCCACAAACTGTGCCAGGACAAGTCTGTGAACAGACTGCTTCCAGAATAAGTGATTGAATACACAAAGAGTGCCACGGCAGCACAGAATTAGGGGTGCTAGGGAGCCTCATTCAGTGACTGAATGCTCTCCATTCAGTCAGAAACACAGCACCACCCTCATGGTTGCCCGAGTTGAAGCTCGGATCGCAACGCCTGAGGTGGCAGATCACCTACACCAGTGAGCGATGATGTATCGGGAGGCACCCGGAGCTCCGAGGAGACTGATCCCTTACACACGGGGAGCCCCGGCTACCCGGAGCCTCTCTCTGTTTGCCCTTCTGCTTGTTCTGGCTGCTACCATCCCACGATCTTCCATGTACATAGCTACTGACTACAGGTGTGTGCTTGGCTCTCCTTTCCCTGTCATGCACAATAACCTGGACTATTTTTGGTCCATTCAACTGTAACAACACCATATATAAAAGCAGACATCTGAGGCACAGCCTGAGGCAACCTGGTAGAAAACCAAGCCCTGAGCCCAGGCAGCCAGCCAGCTGCCAGACTCGCAGGAGAGCAGACAGTCACCTGCAGTACCGATTCAGGGAGCGAGATACACCTGCTGTAACAATCAGCCCCATGCGGCCAGGACTCCATCCTAACCTGCAGCCTCCCTATGACGTGTCCCGACAGCCAGCTCAGGACAAGCAGGGAAAGCTGACTGTGCCCCGTGACCAGCTCCTCAGGATGGCCTGCTTCTATGAGCCTCCTGCCAGGGTCACCGAAAGCCTTCCCGTTCTTTGGCTACTCTTGCAGGTGACAGTGGCTGACTCCCTGGCCCTGGCCAGCCCAGAATAAACGCTTCCCTCATTTGCTGAGTCCTTGTTTATTTCCACAAGAGGATGTTCGAGAGCCCAGAGGTCTGCCGGTGTGTGGATCTGGTTGAATACATACCAGAGGGAATCTTTTTCTTCCCTCTTGATTATTAAAGTATTTGGGCTCAATGTGGTTTCTGGGGAGAGGAAATCTGCTTTTTGGCTTGTGTCTCCAAAGCAACTGGAGATCCATAATGGAAAATTAGAGGAGCAGAAATATAAACAGAAATTAGTGCTTTGCAAATGGGAAAATGGAAGAACCCACAGGGACTGTGGGAAAGAGACCAATAATGTGGGGTAAATTGGCCTTCGAAGTTGGCAGCAACTGAGGGTGGCCAGTCGGCCACTAGATGGCAGTGTGTGCCTGGTCCTTCTCTCCCCGCCACCAGAGCCTGCGGACCAGTCTCTTTTTCTCTCTCCCCTTCTCCTCTTTCTATGTGTATACAGTGTATCACACTCAAAATTTAAAAAGACCACATTCACCCATTTTTCACTCCCCACATTTACTTGTTTACTTTGTTCTTCTCTCCCAACATAAACACAGCTGCACACTCACAAACACACACACACACACTCACACACACACACACACACACACGTTCATTTTTTGCTGAGTCGTTTGCAAGCAAACGACACATGGTGATGCTTCACCCCAGGCACTTCAGCACACACTGCGGAAAAAGAAGAATATCTTCTGGATATGACTGTAACTTTCAACATACAACATCAACACAATGTAATCAAGTCCAAAGCCCACCCACCAATGTTCCCAGATAACTCAGAAGCGTCTCTGATGACTACTGTCCATCCTGATACAGGGTCCTATCAAGAGTCACACATGGCAAAGACAGGCATGGTGGTGGACACCTGATATCCCAGTACTTGGGAGGCTGAGGCAGGAGGATCACCGTGAGTTCAAGGCCAGCTTGAACTACACGGCAAGATCCTGTTTCCAAAAAATCAGAAAGAACAGGTCAGGGATTTAGCTCAGCGGCAAAGCACCTGCCTGGCAAACTCAAGGTTGGGAGTTCCATCCCTGGTACAAAACCCCCAAATAAAACAAAACAAAAAAAACTCGAAGAATAAAAATAAAAAGAATCACACACTGTGTTGTTTAGCTGTCAGGTTCTTTCACTCTGAAGGGTCTTCGTATCTTTGGATTGTTTTGACACTGGCATTGAAATTTCCAAGTTACTCCAGTTATCTTTATAGAAAAATCCCATGTTGTGAATGTTCTCAATTGTTTGCAAAAGCTTGGATTCAAGTCAAGAGTTAGGGCCTGACTGGAGACAAGCTCGAGTCCTTCCTACTTTGACCACCAGGGGCCAGCAGACCTCAGACCATGACTCAAGCACCAAGTTTGATCCTTCATAAGGCCACATGAGGACAGTGGTGATTTTTCCAAAACTATCTTTCTACATTTACAACTGGCCATTCTTCGTGCAGAAAAGTGCCCCCTTCCACATGACTTGGTGCTGGGATTCTTTTTTCAAAATATTGTATTTTATCTCTATTTCTTTTAATACCCAAAATATCCCAACTTGCCCAGGGGGAGACGTGCATGTATATGTGTGCATGTGTGTGTGTGTGTGTATGTGTGTATGTGTCTGATACCTCCATATCAGTTTCTGGGTGCTTCCTTACTTCTGGCAAAACAAGATGCTCCAGCCCCCACCGGTGCTGTTCAAGTCCAAGCCCCGCAGTCGGCTCTGGCTCCCTCGAGAGGAAATGGTATTTAGAGAGACGGAAATGTCAGGCGTGTTTGTCACCAGCGAGCCACTGTCACTGCGATTAGACACAGCTATGATTTTCCCTGGGTACAGGGGCTTCCTTCTAACTTTTCCATGATCCAGGATGGCACCACTCTTCCCCTTCACACACAAGGTGAAAAGTAAGTTTCAAAACCAAGCAGGAGGGTGTTTTTGGTTTCGACGATGACAACAAATCTTAGGTATCTGTTTAAAGCTTTACAAGTAAAATTCTGGAGGACTACGAAAAAAATAACAGAAAACAGTCTGATCATTACTATGTGTCTTGGTTACTCTTTTCTTGTTGTTGAGACAAAATACCTGATGCTCAAAATGAGGGAAGGAAAGGTTTATATTAGCCTAGAGTTTTTTGAGGGTTCAGTCCACACTCATTTGGCAGGGTCCAAGGCAGGGTGGTGTGGCTGAGGGGCACTATTTTTTGTTCATGGTGGTTGTGAGCAACAAGATTGAGAAGCATGCCTCCCTCCCTGCCCGATACTCTATGCCAGCTCCCCACCCCTGGGTGGGTGCAGCACTCACACTGCCTCCCAGCACTAGGCAACAAACCAATCGCAAATGCTAGATTCAGTTGCCTCCATCACTATATGAGGCTTGGGAGGACACCCAGACACAAACTGTAACACTAAGACACAAGTCAGTTACATACAAATGAACCAGACATCCTGGGGAGATCAACTAAATGCTGCTAACTTTAGAATGAGAATCTCCCTCTTGCCCTCTTTGTGTGCCCACAGCTGGAGCTGCAGCCTTTAGCTGCATAGGAAGCAAGGCTCCATCTCAGCTGATATAACTAACACGCGGTGTACCGGACGACTCAGTGGAGCCGACACATTCCCAGGTTCCATCCAGCTCATGTCCCCTGTACCTCCTCAATGGTTCTGTGCCATGTAGACTCAGCTCAAATTCCTCTCCCCTGGTGCAGCAGGCAGTGAAGCCCAGAAGATCCCAGAGATGCCTGCCTGCAATGCCTGTCCTGCCTCTGCAGCTCGACAGCATGCCCACCACACCGCAGGCAATGAAGGGTTCAGGTCCTAGGGAGAGTCTGGATAGCTCAAACCCTTCAGCCTCGAAACAGACTGGACTGCTTCTGCCTAGAGGTGCTCCCCCAGGAATGTAGTTATTATGGTGACAGAAAGGGCTGAGATGGGAAGATAACGTGGGAACCACCACTGGCTGGGTCTTGGACCAAGACAGCCCTTGAAATGCTCCTGAGGGCTGGCCTCGTTTTGATAGTGGGTGCCCTGATGCTAACTGTGTCCTGCGACCATGACAAAGGACAATGAATCCCCTCTCTCTTCTGTGCCATGCTCTCCTCTCCTCTCATGGTCCATGTGAATCCTATTATTACTGCAATACTCCTTGTGTATTAGTCTGTTTTCTGTTGCTAAACAAAATGTCTGAGTGTCGGTATTCTGTAAAGAAATGAGGTTTACTTAGCTTGCAGTTCTACAGGTTCAGAAGCGCTCAGCTCTGGTGAAAAGCGCCCTGTTTACATCCTAACAGTTGTCAGCATCGTAGTGGGAGTGCATGTAAGTGGGGGCATCAAAGCGAGGCAGGAAGCTAGAGAAGGATGCAGGGGCCAGGCTCTGCTTTTACAACTTGCTCTTGTGGGAGATCAGTCACATTATAAGACCAGCACTATCCCTGCAGTATTTCTAAGGATGTATCTACCTCCTATTAGGCCCTATCTCTCAAGTTCCCAACATTTCATGACACCTCCATGTTGGAGATCAAGCCTGTTAGCATATGAACCTGTGGGGGACAAACCACATCCAAACAACCTAGCATCCCGTCTCTAGGACCACCATCATTATCCCCAGCTGTTACCATTGCAGAGCAGGGCCACAGTCTTGTTACCTTGTATCTGCATATCCAGCAATGTTTTCTTGAGTGGTGCTACTATGTATCAACTGTCCTGTCAGAAGCCAGTGGAAATAAACCTGCAACACTGCAGACAGAACCAAGACTCCAGAAGTGTAGGACTCAGAGGGAAAAGGTGTGTGGATGTGTAGGTATCCATGCTCCTTCCGCTGC